GACATCGTTGCCTTCGCGGGTGTGGAGCACGCTGTGGAAATGCTCGATGGCCTTTTGCGCATCATCATGCTTTTGAGCAAGAAAGCCGAGCGCAGAAGGAGTTGTAGAGGGCGCCATGTAGGAGGCGTGCGCGCTCAGCCCTGATAAGCGACTGGCTTCTTGCAGACTGGGCAGATATGAGAGGGTTTCTTGCAGGACAGAGAGGCAACCAGAGAGATATCTGGACGTGGGGAGCAACGGTCGAGCTAAATTAATGAATGTGGCTTCGCATCTCTGCCAGAACAGGCAAGAATTTGGTCCCGGTCAAGCACTCTGGAGATAGCTCGATTGTCATTGGCCAGGAGAACTGACATCCACCGGATCAACTAGCCCCAAACTGGAAATACTTCCCGGCGGATAAGGAGCTCCTTATCGGAGTCACCTACCCTGTACTGAGAGAGAATCTGCAAACGACACCTACAAAACTAGCAGAGAAATTAATAAGGTAGCCAGGATTTCTTTTGTAATGGAGTATCTCTCTCACTGTTTTTTGTTTTTTTTCCTCTTCCCTCAAGTTGTATGTTGGGATTATTTGGGAAAATGGGGATTGGAGTACCGCTAACATCATAATTCACGTCAAAATGGGGGCTAAATATTCACCCCACCTATCTCATAAGTGAGTGATGAGAAAAACAGTGTGGTTTTGGGGCTATCGATCCCATTTTACAGTGCAACCCCATCATTCAACAGTTGAAGACGCTGTAGAGAGAGTGAGCGCGGAGGGCTGCATGGCATTAGTTCACCCTTGACACGCGACTCCCCGCACTAATTCAGGCTGATTAGTAACAGGAAATATGAGGACCGGGTCCGAACCCTGGATGAATAAAGAAAACCCCTGGATTCGAATAGCTGTTATATGAACATCCTCTAATGTTAGTTAATTGTCGATGATCACTGAGTGTATGCCGGAATTTGTACGATTCCGACTATGGCTTTGTTGCCGGACTGGGTTGTTAGTCAACCACGAATCCGTGAGGATCCTCTGGATCAATTCATTTGCTATTTTGGGCCATTGGTGCGTTTCGGCAGATGGTGACATCAAGGCAAAAGTGCGGTGGTGGACGGGAGCGACATGCCCTGAAACAACCTTCCAGATTACTCGTTACAGTGCGTCCAGGTTCTTTTCGATTTTGTATCTATGTTTGTACGATTGTTCCTCTTCGCATCGGATTATTGGATTTGCCTGTATGTTATTCAGATCACAGTCAATCTATTTATCATGGTCATGTCCGCCCTCTTGGACATGGACGCCTGGCGCAAATACTGCCTGTTCTTCTTGATTGTTGTTTTCATTTTTTCCCTTTCCCTTTCTTTCTTCCTCTTCCTTTCTTTTAATTGATTGGCGTTGAATTAGCAAGGATTATAGCGCTCAAACTTGAGGAGCGATGACCTGTCGATGAGGGAACAAATGCAGGGCACGTTCCGCGTCGACTACTTGCATGAATGAATATTGCGCACGGCTGGAATGCACTTCAGTATCCTTGACACCGAGGCGTACTTGGGTCTGGCAGGCGTAGGAGCTATCTTAACCGTGGTCATCGCAGCCTTCATCATCACAGCTGCTCTCGCAAGCATCGCGTTCTTTAGAGCTCACCGCCATGGAGATGATGCGCGATCTGGCATCCCCTGGTTCAAGGCTGCGGGTGCCCTAGGTTCTCTGTTAGTATTGCCCCCCTTCCCTTTCGCTCCCACGAGGGTGGTATGGAGGTAGCTAACCATAATCCGTCTACGAAGCTGGCTTGTCACTGCCATTGTGAGCCCAGTAACTGAATATTTCCTGAGGCAAGGCCGTCGTACTGGCAGTGGTGATAGCTCCGCTTTCGAGTTTGGGATGGAGCAGTTTCCAATCTTCACCAATTTTTTCATGTATACTGCCTTGGCTACGTTCCAGGTTGCCCAAATCGAGTTTACCATAGGTTTGGACTATGCCTCCATCTTATCTCGTGAGCGGGAGGTCAGTGGGTTTTTTGACGAAGCTTCCCCTGTACCACACTTCCTTGTTCTAGTCGCATACATCTGCATCTTGGTTATCAACGCTGCCGACCTCGCTTGCTCGGAACTATACTACTCAGGTGTTGACGCTGCTTTTTGGCCCATGAAGATGACTGCATTGTCTCTTGATGTTGCTCTTTGGCTTTTCTCAATTGGTGGTCTTATCAGCACAGCTTGCCAGCATTACGCGGCACCTCAGAAGCGAGTAAGTCAAGGACACTCCGCCCAAAATATCCCAAACCATCAGCTCGTTTCTCTCTTAACTTTAACCCACCCCGCTAACCTTCACACCTTTAGCTTTGGAGGATATTGATGGCCATGAACTCCGTTACAGCCTTTCATCACGGTGGCCTCACTGTTCTGGCTGGCTTCTATGGCGTCACCATCGCCCAGGAGAACTTGGCGTACCTGTCTACCTTTATTTCCTACGCTCAGCTCATTTTTAGCTCTTGGATGTTTGTCCTTTGCTTGAGTATTGGATATGGTGTCTCTGTCATGTCGTATAAGAATAGCGGCTTGTGGACGAAAGACATCTCTTCGCATAGGTCCCTTGAGGAAGCTAAACTCCACTGTCTGGACTAACTGGAGCCGTTTTCCCGATTTTGACGAGCAGACGTTAAGATCAAGTCCATTGTTTAATATCTTATTTTTGAAGGGCCATTAAAAGCCCGTGTATCATGTACAATATCGGGAGTGATAGCGTTGGAGGAGTTTGGAGAGATTTTGGGCATTCTTAGCCGAGATTTCTGGGGCAATACTGGCTGCCATGCCCCTTAGTACTCTCAAAAATCAATGGCCTCTTTGCCCCAAATGATATTTGAATATTGTGCGACAAGCGTGCCTTTCGCCCGAAGTCTGTCAGGACGGGCGATTGGATATATGTTACTCTCCATGGCTACCACATGTTCAAGTAGCCCAATTCCTTTCTTAATGTGGCCATTTGACAGATATGCCTCTGTGAGTTAGAGTTTCGTCATTTGGAGTTTAGGTTGAAGATCTACAAGGGAATTATCCTCGATGTAGTCTCTGTCTCCGAGCATTTCTATCCCCTCTTTCAATCGACAAACGCTCACGTATGCTTCTGCGAGCGTGCGGTCGCGGGGGTATTCTGCCAGAGTGTTTTTTCACTAGAGCTATTATATCTTAAAGAAGAGTAATTGCTCACTTAAAATATACCTCAGCCCTCAAAAATGCTCTTGAAAGTTCGTAGATTGCCGAAATCCGTTCGGGATCATCCTCCTCAAGAGTAGCTTTATCGATAGCTACTTCATCCGCCAAAGGATCGATCGCCTTTTGAAACTTGCAATCGCCCTCATCCGCGTGTGAACACTCAATAATCGATTTAAGACGGCCAGAATTGTCCGCTCCGAGGTCTTCCCGTAATTTGTGATTACATTTGTTACGATGGAGAGTGCCCCGGTCCAGTGCCCATCATCTATTAGACACTACCCTGTGCCGAGGCCTAATGACTGGTGAGGTGTCACTTCGCTATCGGCTGATTCCCAGAATATCTGCAGAGTGTGTGGCAAGCACGGTTGCTAGAGAACTCCATTCTTGTAAGACTTTGCTGCCAATATATCTTCTATATCCAGGATTGCTGCTTTCAATTCAGACTTGTCCAAGTCTTCTGACTTCACCACGTAATGAACTAGACTGTGCATATCAAACGCATCGTGACTATTTCAGCTTGAAAGAAAGCCGTGTCTATCCAGAATTCCAACAGGTGTCATCATTTGTCATTCAGACCCTGCACGGAGTAGAAGAGAGCGAGCAATTGCGTTAGGTTCAATCCATGTGATGAATGAAAAAGTTTTAAGTCGCGGAAGGGCTGCTTTCCCATATTTGTTTGAAGAATATCAGTCGCGCCGTCATTACCGCGGTTTGGCTTGGGTCATAATGTGTATCATCGTCAAGCCTTGATTCATCAACTCTTTAGCGTCTTGTTCTGATGTCTTTGATAGCTGTAAGAAGTGTAAAAAAGAGGGGTTTCCTTCATCCTCAAGTAGGAACTGCTCGAGGCATTTCAAGTGGCAGATAGCGGAGGGTTTCAATCAGCTGAACCTTAAATTCTTCACCAAACATCCATCAGTTGGAACCAACTTTCTGTCAAGAAAGCTTTTTGCCTCCTCCAAGCTCAGAGCTGGCAAATGGATGAAACAACTTTTGCCCATTCTCACGGCAACCCATGTGGAGTATGTATTGACTAAAATCCGCCCATGTCTGATAGTCTGTGGTACGTGAACCTTCATATCATGCTTGGGGCTTGGTACGTTATAAATAGTGCTCTCGTCATCAGTCTTGTCTAGAACTAGCAACCGGCTACCTGAACTTCGTGATTATAGGTGGGCTTTCGGGACCTGTCTTGGATCATCTCCTGCTTCGATGGGAATATGTAGCGGCACGCTTGCTCGTAGCTGGATGTGCTGAAGACAAAAACCCAAATCACTAAATAATCGGATACATTTGCAAAATATTTCATTGACTTGGAAGCTCTCAACGGATGGTTTGAGGGCCACGGACGACGCCGGCTTGTCGGATCAGTAGGGTATTTGTAAACTTGTAGTTTTATTCAACCAGTCGACCAAGGAATTGCTTTCCCGGATGTGGTCATAGGACTCGGGATCCCGATCTGGCTGTCGAGGAAGAGGACGTTGCCGAGACTGTGAGCAGCAATTTGTTTGTAGTTCACGTAGCTAGCGGTTGGTTTTCAATCGATGGACATCGCTCTCTATGAAAACTTTGACCGCAATTATTGTAATTTGTAAGTGTATCGGAACAGTACGGATTACAGGATTTGTTATTAGTTCTTTGAGCATTAGTTCAGCTGTTGGCATTTTTTATTGCCACCCATAAAGGATGGTGATGATGTGTCCTACTTTACGCCTTTCTGATGCAGCAGCTTTGTTGCAGCCTTTAGCTATCTCTCTACTGCTAAGTGTACAGGCGTCTTCTCATTCTTACCATAGCTACTATTCATCAATGTGAATTCCATACACCTCTCTCTGAATACTGCGCCACCCTGCCTCTTCTGCTATGCGTACATGGTCGATGCCCCTTGCGTCTTCAAGCTTTATACCTGGCTGCCTGTCAAGCAGTAGTCGAACAATCTCATCGTGCCCTTCGTCTTCTGCTAGGCGTAGCGGGGTGGAGCGCTTTTCGTCTTGAGCCCCAATATTTGCCTGCTTCTCAAGCAGCAGTATAACAATTGCTTTTCGACCTTTCCATGCTGCCAGATGCAACGGGGTTTTCCAGGTGCGGTCTCTGGCATCGACATCCTGGTCATGCAGTAGCAGCTCTACTATTGCCTGATTACCAAAAAATGCGGCTTGATGGAGAGCAGTCATTCCCTCGAAATTTCGTAATTTCTTGTTCAAGTCCAGGTTTCCATAAAGAAGGCGACAAAGGGGCTCGTTGTGATTCCTTATAGCCCAGAACAATGGAGAATTGCCAAATACGTCTTGGGAGTTAACGTCGGCTCCTGCTTCAATCAATGCGGCAGCAACATCCTTTCGGTAGCCGTGGCAAGCCGCACAGTGCAGAGGCGCAAAGTTGTCTGTGCCCTGCGCATTAACGTCGGCGCGATACCGGATAATTGTTTGCACCATGTCTAAATTTCCATCGCAGCAAGCATAATGTAGCGGCGTCCATTCGATCAAATCGCGCGCATTGATGTCGGCACTGCCCACAATGTGTCCTATGATGTCTCCAGGCGTCCCCGACCTGAGTTTCCGCGATGAACCCCGGGTTGAAGCATAGTGGATCGGTGTCCAACCAAAGACATCAGCGGACCTCATCAGCTGGTGGTCGATATTCGGCCACACACCTTGTCTAGCGCAAATGTGGTATTCAGTGATGCCAAATTCATCTCCATCTGGGAAAGATTCCAATTCAACCAACTCAGTGCTATTTAGATCGTCTTCCCAGAAACGACCACGGCCTCGGATAATGTCCCAGGGACGACCGCGGCCTTGGATAATGTAAAGATTCCATAAATTGAGGAAGGCTTCCTCATTGATATCTCCCAACTGCCTTTCCAATTCCTCTGCAAGTCCTTTTAACGCCGGATCTTCAGCAATCTCGGTTTCAATTGCAAAGACAACCTGTCTCCAAAATTGGATTATTGTTGCTGCAGCTTTGATCGTGATGGGGGTGTCATGGGGATATGTCTTTATTCTGCGCAGCAGTGATAAATATATTCTCCCAGCTTCGACCCATTTGCCGGCTTTTTCATGTGCTCTAGCCTCTTTTCGTGCTATTTCAACCATTTCATCGGGCTGAGGCAGTTTGTTCGAGAGACTAAGAGGAGGGAGAATGCTTTGATAAACTTCCTCCAGGCTCCCAAGACCTGTTTGTTGGATTTCAATGGCCATTCTAGAAAGAGCTTCGTTCGTGATTGCGAAGGATTTCCACGCGCCACCATTTGAAGTTACTTCTGTCCGTAAGGTAGTTTTCGAAGGATCAATGTAAGCAGACTTGTCCGCAGCAGCTGCGCCCATGAAGGCGGAGAATATGTGTTGGGCGTAGACCAATTCCACTGAGGTCCGTTTTTCAGTAGCAAAGAAACCTTCGGGTTTCGCACTTGTTTCATCAAACTTAGGCTCATCCAACTGACGGATTTTCAGTCTAGTTTCTGGTTTCAGTCTAGTTTCCGGTTTCTCGACCCAATCATATTCAGAAACGCTACCAACGACCCTTCCATATCTCTCAGCCAAGATTTCAACAGAATCATGCTCTGTATTGCCTGTTTTTTCGCATTTCTGAACTAGGAGAACTGGGTTTTCTTTGGTGGGCATCCACCACCAGATGTCGCGGTGCAACGCTGCTGAATAAGATCCGAGGAAGCAGAGGGCGAACTCGGGCAGTAATCCCTTGCTTCTCAGCCAAGAATCACTTTCCTTTTTTCCATCCTCTCTTGACGGTTTAGATTCGTCTTCGGGGGACTGCTGGCTGTCAGCAAATAGCCACAGAGATAGAATCGCTTCCATTTCCATAACATCAGCCGTGAATTTTCCATTCTTGTGCTGGATCTTAAAATCAATCTCCTGGCCCGGCTTCTTTATCGACCAGTAGATGAATCCCTCAGTACCTTTGCCTTTGGGGAAAAGGGTTTTCATCGCGATTTCAATCGATTTGGTAACAGCGATTGCTTCTTTGGACGGACGCTCACGCCAGTCAGCCAATCGACCTAAGTCTCGACGGATCGTCATCATGTTGTGTGCCGGCAACGCCCCTGTGGGGTTTACCACTCGAAACTTGGGCATTTTAAATCCATTGATCGTCCAGTCTGGTATGTGTCCAGGTTCAGGGGGTACCCCCTCGTTGTTAGGATGCGAGTTCAAGTTCAAAGTAAAAACAGCAATGAAAGATGCAAGACCGGATCTCTCGTTGTTTGTTGCTGGCAAAGATGGCAATTCACGCTTGAACCACTGAAGAGGACCGGCATCTCTAGCACTACCAGATCTTCTGTATAATGCTTTGATGAGCCACCCAACCAGACTGTGCACTAGGTCTTGATTCTTAGATCGCTCTGCATCTTTAATGTCGCTAAAGAATGAATCTAAGAACCTGAAGAATGACCTTGCAATTTTAATCCAGCCTCTGCGCAACCATTTGAGGAACCGCCCGGGAGCTGCATCCCCTGATGGTTTAGCCGCGCCTTGAGGTCTGGGAGCCCAAGGTGACTTTATCTGTTCCTTAAGCCACTTAAGAGCTAGATCCAGAACCGGATCTCGAGATGGACCTTGAGGTGGTTCTTGGGGTGGTTCTCGAGATGGACCTTGAGGTGGTTCTTGGGGTGGTTCTTGGGGTGGTTCTTGGGGTGGATCTTGAGACAGATCTTGAGGTAGATCTCGAGGTAGTTCTTGGGGTGGCTCACCTCTCTCGCACAGTATTTTAGTGAGCCACTCAAGCTCAAATCCGGACTTGAGAGAGCCACCGCTTTCTGGGGGGTTAGCGAGCCCCCAGCGAACGAATGCTTTGCAAGCAAGCATGAACAATACGATTCCAAGCTGAGTAACAGAGGCGGACCAGTGCAGTCCCCGCAAACCGACGAATTGTACGACGAATCCAGAGAGAGCAATCATTGTTGAAACAACGGTAAGGCCTTTCTTTCTGCTCTCTTCGCCATCTCGCTCTGACTTAAGGATATACTTGTTTTTCTTTTTGCAATAGACAATGTGTGAGTTGAATGACTGGTCGCTCACAATTTTTTCTTGCTGTAGCCAACAAAAGTAGATATCATGCGCTTTTCCACGTGGAACATATTTCCGCTCCTTGGTCCTGCTCTCTACAACATGTGAGCAAAGTATCATGCTAACCACCAAGGTAAGTGTTCCAGCTGCAGCGCAAGGATATGCATAGTCTGGAACTTTTTTGCCGTCTTTGGGGTACTGTAGCGTTGGGTAATATGTAGCAAAGGCCCAGTATGCCACCACTCCAAGCTGGAGGATGGTCCCAATAATGGCAACTATCCAAAGCTCTAGGGGGCTTGCAAGCTTGTGGCAATTTAGAGATATATTTGGAGCATTTTCGGCATTTTCCGTTTTTTTTATGTTTCCAGTTTTTCCAGTGGTTTCAGTTTTTCCAATTCTTTCTGGGTTTTCGGGGGTTTTAGGCTCTTTAGTTTGTTCAGTTTTTTGGGCGGTTTCGACCTTTGGGCCGTTAATGCGTATAACAATGACGTCGTTATTTTGCTCGGGTTTTTTTTCGTCGTCTGTGGCATGGTTTTGTTTGCCATTATTGTCAGGGCCTGGGGGTGGGTTATTAACCTGTTCCAGTTTGACATTTTGTGCTTGGCCATCTTCTTCATTTGGTGAATTGTTGAAGAATGGAGTATCGGCTTTTTTGTGTTCTGTTTTCTTCGAGGAAGGGTTAGAGCCGTTGTGTTCGTTAGTATATAAACTTAGATTTGGTGCGGGGATTAGCGGATTACTTACCAGTCTCTTTCAGATACTTATCCCAATCGCCGACTTTAACCTGTGAGTGCTCATTCACCCCCTTCTTAGGAACAAGGATGATGAACTCTGTCAGAGGGCATTTCCCCATACACCGAACGACTTCTGACCCATTCCAGAGCTCGCCGACTTCCTGAGAAGTAGATGACAGGAGCTCCATTTCGGCGGCCGCAAGATTCTCCCTCGCTCTTCCAACCAAGGCCTTCAGCAGCTTTGGACCACCAACTCTGATGGCACTAACGATGATAGTGATTATCCCTATTGGGCCCATGGCAAGTATCAAGTTGTCCGCCCAACCCATGGACTGGCTCATGAATTGCATGGTAACTCGTTCTCCGAAAAGGGCCAACAGACTAATTGCAGAGAAACTCAGCAGATAGCACGCCGAACAACCACCAGTGATTACTTACGGTGCCAGATCAGAGAAGAGATTGTTCGAGAAATCGTCCCCGTCATCAGCGATGGAAAATCCTGCCCAAAACCACCAAACAATAAGGGCTGGACGCAGCATGATGTACTCAACAGTGGAACTTTAGCAGGATAAGACACGGTTCGGATTAGACGGTATGGCTGTTCGCGTACTAGAGAGTTCTGGATTGAGGACTGAGTTCATAGACATCTGGGAGGGGTCACACCATGCTTTATTAAACAAGATTTTCGCATCATGTGCACAATCCGGTGGCTGCAGCAAATATCGTTTCGGACACCGAACTGCTCACGCTACTGGTCGATTATTCTGCGAATGATGCGCCGAGCCGCGAATCAGATATCTGGGATAAGATTCGCATATGCAACAATGACTAAAGCGTAATTGTATCCAATATACGATGGACACGTTGCAAATTTGGTTTCATTCTCATAAAGGTAGTAAGCCAAGAAAGTACGACCACGTAATGAAGGTCTATCGTCTGCTACGCATGTAACCTATTGGAATGCGAAGCTGAACTTTGAGTTACAGTCACAATCTTAGCAATGGAGCAGGGTAGGATTGAGTAGTCCGGTGATGATTTCAATTCCAAATAGTTTTCTAGCTACAACAAAAGAATAAAAGAATGACGACATTGATGGGATTGTATATTTGTTATCAACTGCTTGATGAGTGATGAATGAAATATTGGCATAACAAGTAGGAAATACGAAAAAGAGTGTAAAATAACAGAAGGAAAGAAAAAGAAAAGAATGAAACAGGAAATAATCTAAAGAGTGAAGAACCACATCAGGTGGTGTGCATACGCTTCATTGTTGCCTCGCGAATATCGCCAAATTCGCCTGCTGACGACTGGATGAAGCCGATGCGCATAAGATATCTCACATTGCTTCTTACTGCGCGGCAAAGCTGTGTGTAGTCTTCTGCATCGATCTCCTCTTTCTCCACTGGTTTTCCAAGACGAGACACGAAATGCTGAACCGGCCAAAGAGGGTGTTTTTCTCCAGCCTTGTTCATCGATTCCATCGCGGATGTTTGCCATTCCTCCCAAGAAATAGGCTGGCATTGAACCTTCAATTCCGCGTTCACTTGATCCCAAAACAAGGACTCTGGTATCAAGCCTGTTGCTGAGACATAAGGTGACATTTCATCCTGAGCAAAAATCTGACCGATGATTCTTTCTGCCACATTGGACACATCCGCAATTTGCATCCAAAGTCCTTGAGTATCTGAAGGATGTTTCCTTATGGCAGCTGCGCACGATACCATTCGCCAGAGGAAGTCATCAACATTGGCCACGCCCGTACTTTGGCCTCCAATGATTCGCCCAGGCATGACGATCGAAATTCTGTTCTGTTGTGAAGGTAGTTTCTGGCTCATGTTATACACGATCCTCTCGGCTATGAACTTTGTCTGAATGTAGCCGTTGAGTGAATTGATAATTGGCGCGTGTACATCTACTTCGTCATCGTGATTAACGTGCATGCCGCCCGTCACAAACACAAATTTGGGATTTGACGCAGAGACAGAAGCAAGATGAAGAAGGTCAACTGTGGAATCGACGTTGGCAGCTTTGAGTTTGGTGTAGTCTGCGTTCCAATTGACCACCGCTCCGTTGTGGATAAATGCATCAATCTGGCCATCGCCTGACTTTGTCAAACGGGACCGTTGACATTCTTCAAGTCCCAGTTGTGGTTGAGACAAGTCGCCTGCCCAAACCTCAATCTTTTCTTTATCGGTATCTCGCCACCATCCTGTAATACGGGCAGCATCTTTGACGCGTTCTAATCCCATGCGGGAAGACTTGCTGCGTACGAGGACAATCACGGTTCTGATAGCCTCCGAGCGGACCAGCTGGCGTAAAATTTCGGTGCCCAGATATCCCGTGGCTCCTGTTAGAAAGACAGTAGCATTTTTTGGCAAGGACGTGATCGGGTTCTCGATTAAACGCTGCGGGTGCCTAGCCCATGACGTGTTGGTGACCGTCGTGATCTCATCTGCCACACTGATGGACGTCTCATTCGCGAGACGTTCGTCCCTAGCATCCTCGATATAACCGGCCATGATGCCAATGGTAGTCTGCTTACTATTGAGGAGTGATATTCCTAGCTGAACATTAAACTTCTCCGAGATAAGTTTATTCAGTGTCACGATGCGGATGGAGTCACCCCCAAGATTGTAGAAATTGTCATCCACACTGATAGTCGTAGCCGGCATAGTTAGGACCATGGCCCACTGATGGCGTAGCCAGCGCTGGATGTCTGTTGTACATTCGCGGAACGGTAGGCTTTGACTGAGAGACCATCTGGATAAGTCCTCAGTGGACATGGCTGCTACGAACTTGGCCAGAGACCTGCGATCGAGCTTTCCAGCAGTATTTTGCGGAATACGTGCCACAGGGATAAAGTACTGAGGAATCATGTACTCAGGGAGTTGAGATGCCAGCTTGGAATACAGGTTGATTAACGTATTGGAAATCAACTGTGTTTTGCCAGCCACTTGGATAGTTTGGGCATCATCATCCTCGTGGCTTTCGCTGTTGATTGTAAAAAGTGCGACAAGAGTATCGCGAGAACGATATGGAATAAGCTCGACGGCCACCTGCTTGATAGAACGGTCTACCACACTGATCTGATACTCAATCTCGCCGATTTCTATGCGTTGGCCTCGAATCTTGACTTGGGCGTCTTTCCGGCCCAGGTAGGAAATTGTGCCGTCCGGGTTGTACTTGGCGAGATCGCCAGTCTTATAGAACCCAAACTCATGGCCTGGCACAGAGCGTGGCATCCAGTTCACACCATTAATGAATGATGCCTTAGTCTTCTCGCCATCGCCGATATAACCACGGGCCAATGACCAACCTTGAACAAGTAGCTCCCCAGTGCACCCGATGGGCGCTAAGCGATTGTGATCGTCAGGATCCACGATCCAGGTATTGTGAACAAAGCCATTACCTATGATGGTTGGTGACTCTGTAGGAGATTTGTACTGATAATAGGCACAGCTGATACACGCTTCTGTGGGACCATACGCATTTCGAAGGTCGACATGCTCAAACCACGTATCCAAGAGGTCTTTGGTAGGGGCTTCTCCGCCTAGATTTAGAGTTTTGAGAGACGGAACTGCGAGGGGTGATAGCATCTTTACAAAGGATGGAGTGAGGACTCCGATATTGGACTGAGACGATGTGATGAAATTGGCTGCATCATGGAGCCTCTCTCTGTCAGTTGGCACGCAGACCACACCGCCTAGGATGAGAGGGCCCCAAATTTCACTGATACAGGCGTCAAAAATATAGTTTGCAAACTGGAACCAGCGAGAGCTAGATGAGGAGCCCATGGACTCTCTCTGGCCCATCAGCGACGTGCATATGGAAGAGTGAGTGATCAAAACACCCTTTGGCTTGCCAGTCGACCCAGAGGTGAAAAGAGTGTACGCCGCATTATCCGGGCTAGATATCGTCTTTGGAGGTTGTAGCGAAATGCCCAAAACCTTCAGATGTGACAGGAACTGTTCTGAGATTTCGATCACATGTTCGGCAATGTCCTCGCAAGCTTGTGCCGTCGAGGGAGATACAAGGACGACGCGAGCATCAACTTCTTGGACTAGAGACTTCCGTCTATCGAAGGGGTGACCTGGATCAAGTGGAACAAATGCACCTCCGGCCTTCATTATGCCCAGCATCGCAATGATGGCCCAAGGGGACTTTTCGAAGCAGAAGGGTACCATGATTTCAGGTCGAACGCCCAGGAAATGTAGATAGGAGGCTAGAAGATCAGATAGGCTGTCTAGCGCTCCATATGTAAATGATCTTTCCGTGGAGTAAATCGCTTCTCGAGTTGGTTCACGACGAGCATGGTTTGAAACGAAATCGTGAATGCAAGCTTGAACAACGTCATGATTGACGTGGGAATTAAATTTGATTGCCTGTTGTAGATCCCAAGGGCCAGACACGGACAATTCGCCCAGCAACATGTCGTCTGGTTTCAGCATTTGGCTGATGACATGTTCTATCTGGTGAGAGATAGCGATTGATTGCTGCTCAGTAACTGCATTGGGGTCGTACATGATAAACAGTTCTGTTCGTGAACCTTGTAAGACAAATTGGACCACGAGAGGGTAATTGAGGAAGTTTTGCATCGAGTCCTGGATGGCACATTCCTGCGATTCATCGGGCTCAAGTACGCCTTTGGGATTGACGGTAGTAGGATTTTCCACATGCTGGCCAGGCTGGACAATCATCAGACTTGAAAAGTCGCAGGCTTCTTTTGCGTCAGGTCCGAGTTTGGCTATATTTTGAATGCCAAACTGTTCATGTGCTACCATATCGGATGCCTGAGCTTGTATCCCTCGGACGAACTGGGAAACCGGTTGATCTCGTGAAAGTCGTACGCGGACAGGAACAGTTGCTGTAATGAGACCGGTAACTCCCTCAATTCCTGATACCGACGCGTTTCTTCCGGACACCACCGCACCGAAACAAATATCATCCGACGTGCAATAACGAGAAAGAACAATCGCCCAGGCTGCTCTAAGCACGGATGCTTTGGTAACACTGGTATCTTTGGGCCAGGAGATTTCCAAGGGCTTTTGGAAGACTTTAGTTTGTTGTTGGGCATTAAGATTCTCAACAAAATCTGGGAACGATGCTTTTTGTGCATTCTGAAGTTGGCCTTCCCAGAATCTGGTAGCTTGGTTCTGGTCGAGGTCCTGAGTATACTTGACGAATCTATTATATGGATAGACAGTAGGAGTCTGGTTTTGTTCATAGAAGCTGACCAGGGTTCTTAAAATAATCGACATTGTCCAGCCGTCAAATATTGCGTGGTGCATTAGAAGGCAAAAGAAGCTCTGGCCATTTGGCTCTTGTAATAGCGCAGATCTGTAGAGCCGCGATCCATAACCCATATGGACTGTGTGGGAATTTCGTAGGAAAGATCGCCGATCAAGTCCATTGACTTCATCCCATACATCTCCTCGATCGTACTTGACAACCATCTGGATCGAAGAATTCTGGTGAAGAACTATCCTTGTCCTCAGGTTACTGCATAGTTCAACTGTTCTCTCCCAGGCGGTTCTAAAATTGTCGAGATTCACGTGTTGTGGGATATGGAATACTTGCTTAGAGATGTATGAACCAGGCTGTTTGACAGAAATCGTCATCAAACCCTCCTGAAGCTTGGTACAAGGGAAAGCGTCTTCAATCTCATGCCCAGAATGGAGACCAGGGTCTGCTTGGACTGCTTCTAGCTGACCATCGCCCAATAGCTGGAAAGGGGCAATGGTTTCCTGAACTTCATCACCTGCTTCACTGTGTCTAATCTTGCTGGCAACAGACGACAAGCGAGGATCATCAAATATATCCTTGACGGTCAAGATTAAACCTACGTCACGCAGTTGGGAGATGAACCGAATGGCTAGGAGGGAGTCACCTCCAAGGGCTAGGAAGGTGTCATCACGGCCTATCGAGGTAGCTGGAACGTTGATGAGGTCGGCCCAAAGGCGTTGAATCTGATTCTCCATAGGAGTCTCCGGTGCTCGCTTCTCACCTGATGAGGGAGAGAAGCGGGAAAGTTCCTCTGGGCTGAGCGCGGCCGTCACATTACGAAGTCGCTTGGTATCTTGCTTTGACGATCCAGTGAGTGGTATGAACTTGCAGGGAAAGAAGAAAGTTGGGATCATATATCGAGGCAGCAGCGCTGTGAGTCTGCTGACCATCTCTGCTAAGCGCTGTTGAAGTTCTGGTGTGTGCGGAAGGAGGAGGTCGCCGTCATCTCCCAAGACCTCTTGCGGGAGTCGAGTTTCATTGGAGAAACACAAGTATACAGCGAGGTTAACGCCATTGCTGGTCTTGAGTACATCGACGATGATCTTCTGAACATCTTCAAGAGATTGACGAATATGATGAGCCACCTCATCTAATTCGACTCGGAGACCGCGAATCTTAACCTGAGTATCCTTCCTCGCAACAAATTCAATGGTTCCATCAGGGTGATAGAAGCCCAAGTCACCTGATTTAAAAAATCTGTTCCAGTGCGCATCGTTCCGATGGGGAACCCAGCTAGGCAGGTTGGTTATCATGGCCGCTTGTGTCTTTTCAACATCTGCAAGATATTCTCTCAATATGATAGGACCTTGAAGGACAATCTCACCAACACAGCCTATTGGGGCAAGGCGGTGTGGATTATCGGCATCTACGATCCAACACCTGGAGTTAAAAGGCCGACCGAAATTCAAGGCAGAATCGTGTTGTGACTTGAACTCGTTAGTTGTATTGATAATGCAAGTTTCTGCTGGGCCCCATGAGTTTACAAGTCGAACCTTGCCAAACCACATGTCCAATAGATCTTTACCGAAGGGTTCTCCCGCAGTGAGGATCAGTTCGATGGTTGGGACTTTCTCTGGCCGCAAGGTTCGGGTAAATGATGGAGTGAGGAAAAGCCAATTAACCCCCTTCTCGCAAATGAAATCGGATAGGTTGTTCATTCTATCATCCTCGGAGGGGATACAGAGAGTAGCGCCAGAAAATAATGGCATAAATATCTCTCCAATGCCAATGTCAAACACGTGGGCAGAAAAGTGCAGCATTTTGACATTCTGGTGGACCCCCAAGGTGCTCGAAAGAGAAAGAATGCATGTGGTCAACGCCCCATGCTCCATTACTAAACCTTTTGGGAGGCCTGTGGTTCCGGAGGTGAAGAGGACATACGTTGTGTTGCTTGGAGCTACGGCTACTGTTTGCCCAGAGGAGCTGATTGTGTCGTTTCTAGACAGAGAACGGTCCAACGTAGCAGTCACCTCCACTACATTCGAGACAAGCTCTGAGCATCTCGAAACCATTTGTGGTGCCGCCAAGGCAACCCTCGATTGTGTCTGCCTAACGATCTGGCGCTGGCGTTGGAGGGGGTGAGATGGATCTATTGGCACCCAGGCAGCGCCAGCCTTGTTGATTGCTAGAATTGAGACAATAAACCAGATTGATTTATCAAAGCATACAACCACCAAATCTTCAGCTTTGACACCCAGGTTGGAGAGCAGGTGGTGGGCCAATCTATTAGCGGCATCATTGAGCTCCCTGTAAGTGAGTGTGCCATCCCATCCATCAAGTGCCGTCGCATCTGGAACTGATTCAGCTTGCTTTTCGATCAGTTGGTGGACACAGACATTTGCATATTCCGGAGCGTCGAGATTCCATTCAATGGCCTTCTGCAAGTCCCATTCTCCAGATACGGAGACTTCTGATAATGCCATCTGGGGATCTCCAGTCAGTTGCTGAACCACATGATCAAAATGATGACTCAGTGCGGTGATTTTGTCCTCGGAGAGAACAGCAGAATTATATATCAGCACAAGGTCCACTCCTTGCTCACGGACTTGTCCTTGGATAATGAGTGGATAAGTGAAGTAGTTTTGCATCTCTCCTGTCGCCTGAGCGTCATCATCTCCAGTTGCCAAAAATATTTGCTCTTCTCCAGACCCATTTTGTGAAGTAATATGGTTCATGGGCTGAATGAGGAGTAGGCTGGAAAACTCGCAGGCCTCCTTTGTATCAGGAGTGAGTTTCGCAATATTCTGGAGACCGTATTGCTCATACGGAATCATCCTACCAGCTTGATTCTGAACATCCTGAAGATAATCAGACACAAGACGTGTTGAGTCAATTTGTACACGAACAGGGACGGTGGCGACCACCGGCCCAGGCATATCTACCAAGCCCGGGACAGGAGCCTGACGACCTGATATTGTTGTACCGAAGCACACGTCATCAGTATCACAGTAGCGTGCTAGAACTAGTGCCCACGTCGCGCGAAGCACAGTTGCGGTAGTAATAGACGTATTCCGAGTCTCTGCGAAGGATATTGACCGTGTTAAGGTTTGTACTTGGCTGCTGGTAGATTCGGTTGTCGGGAGCGGGGAAGGGAATGTCGCCCGTGTGACGTTGTGAAGCTCCTTCTTCCAAAATTCCTTAGCCGCATCCTTATCAAGCTTCATCATGTAGTTTATAAAGCTAGAATACGGCTGGAGGGGCGACGCAGTTATCTCGAAGTAGCTCTCATACAGAGTCTTCAAAACTGTACGAGTTGACCAACCATCGAAGATTGAATGATGGATAGTCCATGCAAAATAGCGATGGCCATTCTCTAAGATAATGGCGCAATGAGACAGTCTATCCCCGTAGCATACAGTGTTAGACTGGGGAGAATTGAGGAATGAATTGACAGAAATGTTGTCGCAAGCCGCCCAATCAATATCGCTGCTCAGCACCGCTTGGAAGTGTGAGCCGCCAATACTCACAATCCTTGTACGCAGATTGCCGCATATTTGGGCCGTACGTTCCCATGCAGCTTTAAAGCGATCAATATTGACGTGATTTGATAGCTTGTAAACATGCTTGGCAATATAAGATCCAGGCTGCTTTACTGCCAAAGCCATGAGACCCTCCTGCAGTGGTGTACACGGGAAAACATCCTCAACCATGCTCCCTTCGGAGAGTTTGCATTGATCCATGACTTCAGAAAGAATACTATCCATTTCAGCAGTTGGGATAAGGCTGAAAGGCTGAACAAAAAAGGTCTCGGCCAAGTTCTCCGTCAAGATTGCGGACTGCGCCATGTTAGATAATCTCGAGTCCTCGAACACAGAGGAGACTTCGATCTTCACGCCTTGTTGCTGTGCCAGGGAGACCATGTGAATAGCTGAGATTGAGTCACCTCCAATAGCTAGGAAGGAATCATTCTTGCCGATTTGTGCTGGTTGTATCTGCAACACTTGTGACCAGATATCGCGCAGCTTGAACTCTATCGGAGTCGAAGGTTCCTCATAATCAGTGCGATGTAAAGCGTATCCCGACAGCTCTTCTTTGGACAATGACTTTGCAAGAGATTTGAGGTTGTCCCGGTCTATTTTCATCGATGTGATGAAAGGCATATGCTGAAGTGGCAATATGGTTCTGGGTACCATGTAAGCAGGTAATACTGCCTTAAGAGAGCTTACAACCTCTACGAGAGAGTCTCGTAAACCATCATCAAGTGTGATCAAGTTTGGCAATTTTGAGGCAGACTGCCTGGATTCGTCCATCCCTACGAATGAAACGAAAGCAACAAGCTCATCGCCAGAGTCCCGGCGTATGACATCAGCAGCCACATGTTCTATGGCTGGAAGCCCCCGTTTGATTTGGTATTCTATCTCCCCGAGCTCCAGTCTCTGGCCGCGTAGCTTCGCCTGTGTATCTTTTCTCCCGACGTATTCCATGTCTCCATCTGCTGTATATCTCACGAGATCACCAGTCAGATAGAAACGTCGGGGTTTCTTGGCGTGATTACGGCGCAAGAAATTGATACGGTCGCGGAAGGAGCTCTTGGTCTTTTCAGCTTCATTCAAGTAGCCGCGAGCAAGGGCATGACTTTGAATTACGAGTTCTCCGGTGCATCCCAGAGGAGTCAGTGTATTAAAGTCATCTGGCTCAACGATCCAGCAATTTCCATTGAATGGACGGCCAATATTACGCGGGTTTTCATCATTTGAATCGAAAGTGTGCGTGGTTGCGTAGTTGCAGGCTTCCGCGGGGCCATATCCGTTGATCAAATTCACATGCCCTTGCCATGTGTCAACAAGGTCTTTCGAAGCAGGTTCTCCACCTAACACGAGAGTTTTAAGCAATGGGACTTGTTCAGGTCTGAATGTTCTGACAAATGAAGGCGTCAACATTGCTGTGTTCGCTCGGGACCGCACCATGAAATCGGCGGCATACTGCAGGCGTTCGGTTTCTGAAGGTACGCATACAGTGCCTCCAAAAGCTAAGGTTGTAAGGATCTCTCCCATGCTGCCATCGAAGACATAATTAGAGAATTGAAAAACTCGAGATAGCTGTCCGATGCCAAAGTATTTGCCATGTCCAATGGTACTAGATGATAAGGCAGCATGGTCCATAATGACACCTTTTGGTTTCCCTGTCGATCCTGACGTGAATATTATATATGCAGCGTTTGATGGCTTTGGCTTTCTGTAGCTGGAGGGCAAGACACTATTTCTGCTTGTCTCAGACTCTATACAATCGGGCACCAGTACGACATTCGGGGCCATCCCAGTGCATAGATGGGCGGTATTTGGGGAAACTACCACAAACTGCGCCATTGTTTCGTCCATCAGAGCCTGTCGGCGAGCAGTAGGATGCGAAGGGTCAAGTGGAACAAAAACGCCTCCAGCCTTGAGGATACCAAGCATTGCGACTATTGTCCACATCGACTTCTCTAGACAGAAGGGGACAACAGTTTCTGGCTTGACACCAAGACGGCCCAAGTAGTTAGCAATGTTGGTAGAGAAGCGATCGAGTGCTTCATAGGTCATGGTGTCGCGCGAAGTGAAAATTGCCTCATGCTGGGGCATGCGTTGAGCATGCTGCGAGAAAAGATCATGGACACAAAGTTCATCAAGACGGGTGGGAGTTTGAGAATTCCAGCTTATCGCCTTGTTCAGATCCCATTCGCTACTAATAGAAATGGTAGAAAGTGGTTTATCACTTTGCAGTGCAAGCTGGCTCACTACATGGCCAAGATGGTGAGACAAGGCTACTAGCCGATCCTCTGAGAGCACTCCTGTGTTGTAAATGAGATTCAACTCTATCGAGTCTTGTAGGATATGATATTGCACTACGAGAGGATAGCTGAAGTAGTTCTGAAGCACATCATCCGATTGTAGACCTTCTAGGTGAGCCGGCGTGAGAACCGAGTCGCCATCGCTTCCATCCAGACCCATATTCCGGGCAGGCTGGACGGTCAAAAGACTGCTGAAGTTGCAAGCCTGCTTAGCATCGGAGCTTAGTTTTGAGATGTTTTGCAGCCCATGTTGCTCATAGGGTACCATTGCCATGGCCTGGTCCTGGACACTCTGCAGAAATTGACGAATTGTCTGTTTCTCGTTGATTTTGACACGAACGGGAACCGTAGCAATCACTAAGCCTGGCATATTTTGAATTCCAGGAACAGGGGCATGCCTTCCAGATGAGGTAACTCCAAAGCAGACGTCGTGTGAGTCAGAGTACCGCCCGAGTACAAGGGCCCAAGCGGCGCGAAGAGTTGAAGCTTGGGTAATAGACTTATTTGTTGGCGTTGGTAGGTTGATGGTTTTCTGGACAACTCGCGTGAGTCCAGCCATGCCGCCTCTTGATGCGGGGAAAGTCGACATCTGAGCCCCTGATAACGCCTTGCTCCAGTACTCGTTGGCCTCGTCCAAATCAATGTCCATGGTATATTTGATGAAAGAAGAAAATGGCTGGATTGAAGGCATGGCTGTATCGGAGTACTGTGCCTGCAGAGTGGTGAGAATTAGGCCATTTGACCAACCGTCGAAAATAGCATGGTGGGTATCGAGTGCAAAATAAGTCGATCCTTCCGGCCCATCAACCAGTGCATAATGGCAAAGACGCGATCCATAAGTCATTTTCCTATCTTTCATAGATTTCAGGTATCCCTGGATGTCGGATACATTCGAGGACTCCCAGCACCCATCGTCTAGGATAGTGGCTTGGATTATGCGTCCATCGATGGAGAAGATTCGCGTCCGAAGATTGTTGCAAAGAGCTGCTGTCTTCTCCCAAGCCATTCTAAATCGATTGATATCCACATGCTTTAATAGCTTGTACACATTCTTGGCAATGTACGAGCCGGGCTGTTTGGCAGTTAGTGCCATAAGTCCTTCTTGAAGCCCGGTACAGGGGAAAGCATCCTCGACAACAGATTCAGCGGGGATCTGGCTTGATATGGCCTCCAAAACCGTTCGTTTTTGTCCATCGTCTAGGAGGCTAAAGGGCTGCATTTTGCTAGATTTCTTTATGGTTGCAACGGCCTTAGAAGCGACACTCGAAAGTCGAGGGTCATCAAATATAGCTTGGACAGTAATATCAAGTCCAGCCTGACGGGCCATTTCAACAGCTTGAATGGCCAGAATAGAGTCGCCACCAATCTGGAGAAAGCTATCATCCCTGCCAATGGACTGGGGCGAAATCTCCAAGACTTGAGACCAGACCTTTTGCATCTCGAGCTCCGAATCGGTCTCAGGCGCACGTTTAATGGTGGCCGTTAGCGCGTATCTGGCAAGGTCACCTCGTTTCAGAGCTAATACCTCGCTGACGAGCTTTTTCCTATCCAGCTTGGTCGAGGTAATCAATGGGATGTATCTGCAGGGGAAAAAGTATTTCGGAACCATGTACGGGGGCAGGGAGACTTTCAAGTGTCCAGTCAAAGCGATAATGTCGCTTTCTAAGTCTGAGCAAAGTGGAAGAATTAATTTGCTGGCGTCAACGGTGCCTTCTTCGATTATGGCATTGTGCTTGTAATGGTAGAATGCTGCCAGACTTGGCCCATGCTCAGTCTCGAGAACATCCACAACAACCTCCTCAGCCTTATCCAAGCCTTGGCGGATGTGGGACTCGATTTCACCAAGCTCAACTCGAAGACCACGAATCTTGATTTGTTGATCCTTGCGACCTGAGTATACCAATTCCCCGTTTTCATTATAGAAACACAGGTCGCCGGTTTTGAAAAAGCGTCTATAATAAGGGGAAGACTTCTTGGGGGCCCAAGGGGGAAGTTGAGACACTGTTGCTGCTGCAGTCTTGGCACTATCGAAGAGATACTCTCGAAGCAAAGTTGGACCCTGGATCATTACCTCGCCTAAGCACCCTGTAGGTGCAAGCTTATTGTGATCATTCGGGTCAACGACCCAACAGAATCCCCCGATAGGAGCTCCTATGATAGAAGATTGCTCCTCGGCAGACTTGTACTCATGCATCGAGCCCATAACGGTGGTCTCGGTAGGCCCCCATGCATTTAAGAGGCGAACCTTCCCAATCCATGAAGCGACAATCTCCTGGCTAACTGCCTCTCCACCAAGTAGCAACAGCTTCAGGCTGGGGAAATCATCTGGCGTCAAAGTTCGGGCAACAGCGGGAGTCTGGCACATCCAGTTGATTTTCTTTTCAGCAACGAAGCTTTTGAGGTTGTTCATTCGGTCATGGGCTGAAGGAACACAGACACAAGCACCCGAAACCAGGGACACAAATATCTCCACCACACTGAAATCGAACGCAAAGGATGAAAATTGCAACATCCTAACATCAGGTGAGATTTTCAATCTCTTAGCCATTGCAAGAAGATTCGTGCACATCGAGACATGCTCAATTACAACACCTTTTGGCACACCGGTGCTGCCCGAGGTAAAAAGAACATATGCAGCAGACCGAGCCGAGATAGTAGACTCATGCAATTTATGCTTTGAATCCTTGGCAAGTGTTTCATTGAGTTCCGAGGTCACCGAGAGCACGTTGTCCACCAGGCTGGCGCACAGCTTTTCATTAGCTGTGGATGTGAGAGCAAGCCTTGCTCTTGTTTGCTCGGCAATATTTTTGAGTCGTTGGGCGGGATGAGAGGAATCGATTGGAACCCATGCTGCTCCTGCCTTGTTTATAGCAAGAATAGACACGATATACCAAGCCGATTTCTCAAAGCATGCTAAGACTAGATCGCCCTCCTTTACATTCATATCATTGACAAGATGCATATAGACCATATCGACTGATTCTTGGAGCTGATTGTAGGTGAAAGAGCGATCCCATGCATCAATAGCTTGTCTATCACCAAAATTCTGGACCTTGGTTTCAATCAAGTCATGAACACAGCTCTCAACTATCACTGGCTCATGTTGGTTGAAAGACCGCGATTGTTTTAGATCCCAGTCTCCTGCTAAAGAAATGTCGCCTAGCGGAGTCTCGCCAAGTTTCGAAAGTTGTTTAGCAACCTCCTCAAAGTGGATAGCAAGTGCTTCCATTTTAGAGTTGGACACGCAACCTGTATCGTATACAAGGTATAGGTCTGTATGATCATCAAACATGTGTCCTTGAATGACGAGGGGATAGTTGAAGAAGTTTTGTAAGTCTTCTTCATCTCGAGCCTCGACAGGCGAGATCAGTCCATCTGAGTCCATCACCCCTCCAACCAAGTGCTGAACTGGTTGGACTACCAACAAGCTATTGAAATTACAAGCTTCCTTAGCATCCTGGCTTAACTTTTGTATGTTTTGAAGTCCGAATTGCTCATATGTGCCCATTTCAGTAGCAATGTCTTGAACAGTGTGCAAAAAGCTCAGTACAGAATGTTCGGGATCAATGCGGACCCTCAAGGGAACCGTTGCCACAACCGGGCCAGTCATATGCGGTAGGCCGCTGACAGGTGCCTGCCTGCCAGATGTTGAGACACCAAAGCAGACGTCGTCTACGTCGCAGTAACGTGCAAGTACAAAGGCCCATGTTGCATGGAGAATAGTAGCCATTGTTATTGGGCTCTTGGAAGTTGCGCAAACATCAAGAGACCTGACCATGGTTTTGGTACCGCCGGACAGTGCCTTGGTTGATGATTGTAGTGGAAACACGGCACGATGAGCCTCTTGAAGTTGCTTCCCCCAGTATTCAGCTGCGCTCTCTAAATCAAGGTCTAATACGAACTTGATAAACCCCGCATAGGGAGGGATTGGCGGTGGCTCAAAGCCTTGGTAGGCTTGATGTAAAGTGGCCATAACAATTCGAGCTGTCCAACCATCATGAGCTGCGTGATGAGCTAGCCAGATAAAATGCCATCCTTCAACGGGATCCTGAACTAGTGCGAAGACGTTTAATTCCGAACCAAATGTCATCTCTGTAGTCCGTAGTTCCTCCAGAGTCGACTTAAGGTTCATGCCAACATATCCAGATTTCCATCTTACGGGCCCTCTGGTGACAGCTTGTATGGGAACTCCTGAAAGCTTCAATATCTTGGTACGCAAACTACTGCATGCTTGAACTGTTTGTTCCCATGCAGCACGGAAGCGGTTGACGTCTACATTTTCTCCGAGTCGATATGTATGATGAGTTATATAGGAACCAGGCTGTTTGACCGAGAGAGCCATTAGCCCCTCTTGGAAGCCAGTGCATGGATAGGCATCTTCAATTATCTGCTCAGGCTCTAGTTCGAGTTTTGCCGAGGTGTCGTTATTGGCCATCGTCACCAAGTCACGGAGGGTCGGCTCAAGAAGGCTAAAGGGCTGATAGTCATTGTCAGAGACCCCATCCCTGGCGTTGGGCAATTCGATCGCTTTGGAGGCAATTGCGGACAACCTTGGATCGTTGAAAACATCTTTTACGGTGAATTGGATACCCTCTTCACTGGCGGCCCCCACAAGAGTGATGGCGGCGATAGAGTCACCCCCGATTTCCAGGAAGCTATCATCGCGACCAATACTATCCATTGGTATGTTTAGTATTTCCGCCCATATCAGTTGTAGCTTCTTTTCCATTTCAGTTTCCGGTGCCCGCTTATCAGCATCCACAAGGGTATAGGTGGCGAGTTCCTTCTGAGAGAGACTTGCAGTTAACGCCTTGAGAGTTTTGCGATCCATTTTACCAGAGGTGACCAGTGGCATATAACTACACATGATGTAAAAAGTAGGAATCATGTATTTGGGTAAAGAAGTCGCCATCTTGCCCCTCATGGCCAGAAGGCGACCGTGGGTGTCTTCTGTATGGTTGAGGAAAATAGACTGGTCCTCTTTGTCACGTGGGACTCGAGAGTCGTCGTTGAAACAAAAGAATGCAACAAGACTTTTGTTTCTCTCGGTCTGGAGGATATCCACAGCAACCTGTCGGATCCCTTCCAAGCTTTTCAAAATACTGTTTTCAATCTCACCAAGTTCGATACGCTGGCCTCGAATCTTGACTTGCGTGTCCTTTCTTGATGAGAATCTGATCGATCCGTCTGGGTTATAAAATCCCAAATCTCCAGTCTTGTAAAACCTCGACCAGCCAGGTTCATCATGTCTTGGGGCCCACGATGGAAGATCAGTGAGAAGCAGCGACCTGGTTTTATCAGGGTCCGCCAGGTACTCTCGAAGTAGTGTTGGTCCTTGAAGGACAATCTCGCCTAGACAACCGATTGGAGAGAGCTTATTTGCGTTATTTGGATCAATTATCCAAGCATTGCAGCCAACAGGATATCCAATAGTCATTGAGGACTCGTGGCACGACTTCCATTCGTGGATTGTGCTATGCACGATAGCCTCTGCGGGGCCCCAGCCGTTGAACAGCTGGACCTTGCCAAACCATTGATTAAATACATCTGGACTGACAGCTTCGCCGCCGAAAGATAAGGCTCTTAGGCCAGGAACATCCTCTGGTCGTATTGTCCGGGCCAGTGATGGCGTCATATAAGCCCACGTAACCCCCATTTCGTTTATATAACCAGGTAAGCTGTTCAGCCGAGTCTCCTCCGAGGGCATACACACCGATGCCCCTGCTAGGAAAGAGGTTAGGGATTCCGTGATGTGTAGGTCGAAAACAAACGATGCAAACTGAAGCACCACAAGGTCTGAGTGAAGGCCGAATCTCCTAATGGTTTCCACCTCGCTAGTGCAGACCGCTCTATGTTCATTCACAATGCCTTTTGGTATACCGGTGCTACCAGACGTGAAAAGTACAAAGGCAGAATGATGAGGCTGGACATCACAGCGTGGAGCATTGATCCCATCGAAACCATTATTCTGGAGCGACAGGTCGCTTGGCCCAGATACCTCAACCACTGTTTCCACGAGTGTCTTGCAGTGTTCCAAACAGCTAGTAGATGCCAGTGCTATCCTCGCTCGGGTCTGGGTAGCGGCTGAATGATGCCGGGTGGTGGGCTGTGATGGATCAAGAGGCACCCACGCGCCTCCTGCTTTGTTGATCGCAAGTATTGCTACGAGATACCATGCTGACTTCTCAAAACAGACAAGTACAAAGTCTTCTATCTGTACCTTCAGCTCAGAAAACAGGTAATTGGCCAACCGGTTGGCAGCTTCGTCAAGCTGGCGATAAGTAAAGTCACCGTCCCACGCACGTAAGGCGACCTTGTTAGGTTGGCGTTTCACCTGCTCCTCGAAAAGATGGTGCAGGCAGGAATAGACAACATTAATACTATTACTTTCCACTGAATTGTATTCCATAGCTTTCATCAGATCCCATTCTCCTGCAATGTCCAGATCACCGACTTTGGTGTCATCTTGGCACAGAAGCTGCTGAACAATGCGTTCGTAATGGTGTGCCAGTGCTACCATCTGCGTTTCAGTCAAGTAACTAGTTTTATAAACGTAGATTAGTTGAACATGGTCATCGTTCAGGAAGCACTCTGACACAAGCGGATAGCTGAAATAGTTCTGAAGCTGCTTCTCTGTCGTAGCTGCGTCATCATCTCGTGAAACCAGCAGCGATTCATCCCCACTCGCAGAAAAGTGACGACTTGGCTGAACTACGATGAGGCTGGAAAAGTCACAGGCTTCCCTGGCATCAGGTCCAAGCTTAGAAATATTCTGAATTCCGAATTGCTCATATGGCACCATCTCAGATGCTTGTGTTTGTGTGTCATCCAACAATTCAGAGACTGTCTTGCCTGGCTCCAATCGTACCCGGACAGGGACTGTAGCAAGCATAGGGCCAGGTGTGCTCTCTAAGCCGCTTACAGGTGCATGGCGACCTGAAACTGTTGTCCCAAAGCAGATATCATTATCATCACAATACTTAGAAAGTAAAATGGCCCAAGCTGCACGCAGAATTGTGGCTTTGGTGATCGATGTGCCTGTTGTGCCAAGAAATGTCATCTTAAACTGGAATACCTTGCTCTCGTCCTGATAAGCCGGTTCATCCATGAGAGTAGTAGATACTGGGAAGGTCGCTCGCTTTGCTTGGAATAACTCCTGGGTCCAGTAGCTACTAGCTTCAGTTGTGTCGAGATCTGTGACATATTTGATAAATCGGGAATAGGGCTGCAATTTGGGGAGTGAGATATCCATATAAGCTTTAGAGAGAGTATCCATGATAATTTGGATAGTCCAGCCATCAAAAACGGAATGATGTACCGTCCAAACGAAATAGTTCGTACCTCCAACGTCTTTGACGAGAGCTGCCCTTGAGAGAGGTGTCCCGTATCCCAAATCTTTATTCACAAGCTCGATATCAGAGAGGTATTGTTTCAAATCCATGCCCTTGGCGACGTTCCAACAGTCGAGATTCTTGAAGACCGCCTGGATAGCAGATTCTTTAAACAGAACAATCCTTGTTCGCAAGATACCACATAAGTCCACAGTTGTCTCCCAAGCAGTCTTGAACTTGGAAACATCGGTACTTTCCGGTAATCTGTAAACTTTGTTGACAATGTAAGAGCCAGGCTGTTTTGATGTTAAGGACAAGAGACCCTCTTGAAGTTTTGTGCAAGGGAAAGCATCCTCAATCACAACATCATCGTCCAGATTGCACTTTCTTCGAATCTCTGTTACCATCTCTGCTGTATCCAGTGAGAGGCCTTCTAACATGCTGAATGGAACAATGTCGGTCTCAGAAGTAAACTCTGTTTCTGCAGCAGCTTCTGCCATAGCACATAGTCTAGGGTCATGGAAGATGGCGCTAACTTGCAGAGTTATACTTTGCGATCGGGCGATAGAAACTAGTTGAATAGCTGCAACCGAGTCACCGCCAACTCTCAAAAAGCTGTCATACTTGCCAATATCTTCAGGGTTTATGTTCAAAACCTTCGCCCATAGTTCTCTCAACTTGAATTCCATGGCAGTATTTGGAGGTTCGTGCTTTGCCGTCTCGGGAGCAAATCGAAGACGATCCTGTGTAGTCAACCCAGTCGCGTGGGTAACGAGCGCTTTACGGTTTACTTTGCCAGAGACTGACATCTCTGGCTGTCCCTGTAAGATAAGATAGGTTGAAGGAATCATGTACGACGGAAGTACAGTCTCAAGAGAGGTGTTGATTGATGAGATCAGCAGCTTGATGTCTGGGGAAACGGACGCTAGCAATTTGACAGCGCCGTGAGACCTCGCATCCGTCGTATCAGTGTACCACATGAAAGCAAGTAAGGTATCAGTCGATGTGCTCTTATCTGATCTGATGACTTCGACAATCGCACTCATGTTGTTCGGTAAGTGTTGGTAGATCCTTGTTTCGATTTCACCCAGTTCAACTCTCTGCCCATGAATCTTGACCTGTGAATCCATTCGGCCCATGTACTCATATGTTCCGTCTGCATTTCGGCGCAGCAAATCTCCTGTGCGATACGCTCTCCGCCGGGAAATTTCTCCCGGAAGCCAGTCTACATCCTCCATCCAGGCTGCATTCTGTTCGGGAGTGACATTGATATACCCTCGGGCAAGCATAGGTCCCTGGATGAGAAGCTCGCCGATGCATCCCACAGGCACTAACTTCTTCACGTCTTGAGGTTCAACCACCCAAAATGCACTCGACATTGGCACACCGATGTTTGTTGGTCGGTCGTCTCTTCCTACATCGGGGTTCCTGGCGCAAGATGATGCCTCGGCTGGGCCGTACAAGCCATTGAGTTGCACGTGATCTTTCCAACGATCTGAGACTTGCTTCGTGATAGCCTCGCCTCCCAAACCGATGGTTTTTAAAGTTGGAACTTCAGACGGGTGCAGAAGATTTGCTACCGTGGGCGTACAAAACAACCAATTGGCCTCCGTAGACCTGATTGTCGCCGCGAGGTCGTTGAGACGCTGATAGTCAGATGGCATGCAAATGCAGGCACCTTTGGTCAGAGTGCCCAACACGTCGAAGATGCCTAGATCAAACGTAAAGGCGCAGAACTGGAAAACACGAGTGCCAGGCCCCAGTCCAAGCTCAACCCCATAAGAGTCGAACGATGTACATACTTGGTCATGCTGTATCAACATGCCCTTTGGTCGACCCGTAGAGCCTGAGGTAAAGATAACAAAACTAGCATTCTCGTAGCTGACGGAAGAGGCCACTGGGTGTGGTGGGTCGGAAAGCTCAAGCAACTCCTCCTCACTCACGACTAGGGTGTTGATATCGAGCCCAGTACTTCGAATGGTTTCTTCATCAGGCGGAGAGCAAAGAACCAGTTCGGCTTTTGCGTCTTCAATGATGGACCTGAGGCGATCAGACGGAGCTGCTGGGTCCAGGGGAACAAAGGCACCTCCAGCCATCTGGACAGCTACCATCGCAACCACAGCCCAAGTAGACTTGGGAAAGCAAATGGGGACAAGGATTTCTGGTACCACGCCAAGTTCTTGCAACTTCACAGCCAGACGAGAGGCAAACATCCCTAATTCGTGATAGGTAAGATTGCGATCCCAGGAAATGATAGCAGGATCTAACGGCCGGGCTTTGATATGTTCCTGGATAAGCCAGTGTGTACATGCCTTTGTCGGCTCGGCAAGCCTCTGTACCTCGATGGCATGTCTTTTATCCCATTCTCCTACAAGTGAGATACTGCTCAATGGTTCTTCATCCATGTTTAATAATTGTTGGACCACATGTCCGAAGTGATGCGAAATAGCAATAATCCGCGCATCGGAGATGACTCGAGCATCGTAGTAGAAGACTTGATCGGCGCTGTCTTCGAACATGTTACTAACAAGAACAAGGGGGTAGTTAAAGTAGTTGCCCATTGCATCCTGCGTCAGTGTTCTTTCTGTCTCTCCGGACAAAAGAACAGAATGACCTCCTGTTTCAAGGTCGCTAGCTTTGGCTGTTGGCTGCACCACGAGTAGACTACTGAAGTCTGCCGCAGTTCTGGCATCGGGATGCAAAAGAGCGATCTTTCGTAGCCCAATTTGCTCGTGTGGCACCATTTCCAGAGCTTGATTTTGAACAGCTCGAAGATAGCCTCCCACAGATTGATTCAGATCAAGCGTAACTCTTACTGGTACTGTGGTTATTACTGGACCAGGCATGCTCTCGATTCCCGGAATAGGGGCTTGACGGCCAGACACGGTAGCTCCGAACACGATATCGTGGCTTTCACAATAACGTGCAAGCACCACAGCCCAAGCAGCTCTCATTACCGATGCCTTGGTGACTGATTTATGTCTAGAGCCCTTCAAATCGATATGTTGATTGTGTGTTCGGGGGAGATGGTCTTGACCCGTGGAGTAACATTCGTCCAGGGGAGGAGGAAAAGATGCCTTCCTAGCTCCAACCAGCGCCTTTTTCCAGTACTCTCCGGCCTTTGAAATGTCCACATTCATGGAGTACTTGATAAAGTTAGAATACGGGCGCAAGGCTGTCAATGTCTCTTCCTGAAACACCTGGTGAAGGGTGGCGAAAATTATCTTCAAGGCCCAGCCATCATACATTGCGTGATGTGTCGTCCACACTATGTAATCTTTTCCATCTGCACAAGACACAACAGTGTTCAAAGAAAGGCGAGTTCCATATCCCATTATACGGGTCGTGGGCCGGTTCATATATGCGGCTGGATTGGCTGCGGTGACATGTTCCCACTCCATCTCTTCCTTGACAACTAATTGATAGGACTCCCCATCAACTAATACGATTCTAGACCGCATATTGGTGCACATCTGCGCTGTTGCGTTCCAACAAAATTTAAAACGGGACAAATCCACATGGTTGTGGATGCGGAACACGTATTTGGTGATGTAGGAACCAGGCTGTTTTTCTGTTAGAGACATGAGACCTTCTTGCATGGAGGAACAAGGGAAAGCATCCTCTATTAGTTGACTCTGAGAAATCTGCCATATCTGTCTCATTTCCAGGCTATTGATTCTTTCCTGGATATGAGGTTCGATCAAATCGAACGGCGATAGCGGCTGCTCTTCAGATGTAATGTCCGTAGATTCAACCGCATTCTCCGCCACAGCAAGGAGGGTCGGGTTGTCAAAGATGTCCTTGATTGTCAGTAATATTCCAGAGTTACGTGCAGACGTAACCAGTGAAATAGCTGCAATGGAATCGCCTCCTATTTGTAGGAAATTGTCGTCTCGTCCGATTGAATCAAATGGAAGCTTCAATATGTCGGCCCAGAGCTTTTGAAGCTGTCTCTCCATTTTGGTTTCCGGCTCACGCTTTTTACTTTCGACGCGTGAGTATTTGGCCAATTCAGTTGCATCAAGAGCCATTGTGATCTCCTTCAGTTTTTTCCGATCCAACTTGGTCGACGTGATTGATGGCATAAATCGGCAGTATATAAAATAGGTCGGTATCATATACCGTGGTAGCTTGGCGCTCAGCCTTCCTACCAACTCAATAATCCGAGATTGATTCCCTTCAGAGGAGCACTCAAAAATATCCTGTGCTTCAAAGGAACCGGACATAACCTGGTCAGTGAATGACAGATACGCCACTAGGTTTGTGCGAGTTGCTATTTCGACGCTGTCAACCACGACATGACGAAGGTCGTGAAGGCCTTGTCTGATTTGACTCTCGACTTCTCCGAGTTCCACTCTGAGACCTCTGATCTTGATCTGAGTATCCTTTCTACTAACGAACTCCAACGTTCCATCAGAGTTGTAAGAGCATAGATCTCCCGATTTATAGGCACGATTCCACCCAGTGATAGTTCGTCGGGGTGCCCACGAAGGAAGCGGTCGCACCATGCTTGCATCCGTTTTCTCTTGATCTCTAAGATACTCGCGTAGTAACGTCGGACCTTGTATAACAACCTCTCCAACGGTTCCAATAGGGGCGAGTTGGGATGGGTCTTCCGGATCGACTATCCAGCAGAAGCCACCGATAGGACGCCCGATCGTGAGTGGCGATTCATCAGGGTCAGCCCATTCATGGAGTGTACTGACGACACACGTCTCCGCTGGGCCCCATCCATTGAGTAGCCTGACTTTTCCAAACCAAGCATCAAGAATATCTCTGCCAACAGCCTCTCCGGCAAGAGCAATAAGCTCTAGACTAGGAACCTGCTCGGGGGTGATGGTGCGGATGAATGATGGCGTCACCCAAGCCCAATTAATGTTATTCCTTTGTATGAATTCCGGGAGATTATTCATCCTGTCGTGTTCAGATGGAACGAAAATGCTGGCTCCAGATATCAATGACAGAACAATCTCACCAATAGTTATATCAAAAACAAATGCGCCAAACTGCAGGACCCTTTCACTGCGTGTGATGCCTATCCTCTGTGCAAGAGCTGTCTGGCTGGTGCAGACAGCAGCGTGCTCCATGACAAAGCCCTTTGGTGTCCCGGTACTTCCCGAAGTAAACAGCACGTACATTGCAAATCTGGGGGATACTTGGATCGCAGGTGGAGAGTCCGGAAGTCCCAAGGCCTGAAGGCGTTCATCCAGAGCCTTATCTACTTTTATCACGTTCAGGATAATATCCTCGCACATTGAGGCGTTTAAGGGTGAGCACAGAGCCACAGTCGCCTTGGTCTGCGATACGACTTGTTTCTGACGTTCAACTGGGTGAGATGGTTCGAGGGGCACCCAGGCGGCACCAGCCTTGTTAATAGCGAGAATTGAGATACAATACCATGCAGATTTGTCGAAGCAAACATGAACCAAGTCTTGTGGCTTAACCCCCATGCTACCAAGCTTGTGAGCAAGACGATTGGCCGCCTGGTTGAGTTCTCTATAGGTAAAATTCCCATCCCATGCACAAATGGCGGGTGCCTCTGGCTTGACTAATGCTTGATTTTCAACCAGCGTGTGGAAGCAGGTGTTCATTATCTCAGGATTCTCTGTATTCCACGAGATAGCCTTTTCCAGATCCCATGTACCAGCAAGTGACACATCTTCTAACAGACCTTCTCTTCTAGTAAGAAGTTGGTGGACCACATTGCCGTATTGGTGGTAGATTGCAGTAGCTTGGAGCTCAGAAAGATGTTCAGCGTTGTAAATAACGTGAAGCTCAACGTTCTCAGCATGGACATGGCATTGGATCACTAGAGGATAGTTGAAGTATCCCTGCAAGATATCCTCCGCTAACTCGTCTTCGCCAGACCTCGGAACCAACAAATCTTCTCTCATTCTCGAGGAAAGAAAGTCGGCTGGCTGGACAACAAAGAGACTGGAAAAGTTGCAAGCATCCATCGCATCAGGTCCAATTTTAGAAATGTTCTGGAGACCAAACTGTTCATAACTAACCATTTCTGATGCCTGGGACTGAACATCCTGCAGAAAAGTCTCAACGGATTTTCTAGTATCCAATTGAATCCTTATGGGTACCGTTGCGATGATAGGTCCGGGCATAGATTCAATTCCATCAACAGGTGCTTGGCGGCCGGATATGGTTGCGCCAAAACAAATATCCTGACTGTCACAATACTTTGCAAGCACCACCGCCCAGGCAGCACGTAAAACCGTGGCGGTTGTGACGAACTTATGCACTGATTCTTGAAGGCTGAGGGATTGGTTCAACACGCGAACCGCACCCCTGTTTTCATGCCCCCCGTGCTTAACGGCAGGGAACAAGGCCGGCTTGACGCCTTGGAGCTGAGTTGCCCAGTAACTCCTGGCTGCGTCCATATTCATGCTGGATGTATGTTGAATGAAACAAGCGTATGGCACCACGGGTGTAATCTCTGTGCTTGAATATATGCTGATTAATGTGTTCATGACCAACCTAATGGTCCATCCGTCCTGGATAGCGTGATGAATGGAGGCCACGAAGTGGTAATCGCCCTCGTCGTCCCGGGAAAGTGTGTAATGGCAAAGGGGTGTTCCATATGTCATTTCAAGCCTATTAGCCCGCTTTAGAGCATCTGAGAACCTTAATTCTTCCGTTGAATCATCCCAAGATGTGTCATTCTTGATAGCCAGCTGAGTATGCAGACCACTCGAGTTGATGATACGAGTGCGAAGAATGGGACAAGCTTCAAGTGTCCTCATCCAAGAATCCTTGAATCGGGGTAGGTCAATATGTCGTGATAATTTATAGACAAACTTGGCAATGTACGAGCCAGGTTGTTTAGCCGAAAGTGCAATGAGGCCAATTTGGAGGGCTGTACATGGATAGGCATCCTCTATCACTTGATGTACACCTAGACCGCATTCCTCTGACACGCTGCCAGAATTTATCTGTTCAGCAATATACGGATCAAGCATTGAGAATGGTGAGATAGACTGCAAGGTCCGATCAGGATTCAAAAACTTGGCAGTTGCTGCAACACGCCATAAACGAGGATCGGTGAAAATGTCCTTGACTGTGATCTTAATTCCTTCGTCGCGGGCAGCTTTGACAACTTGAATTGCAGCAATCGAATCGCCTCCGATGCCCATAAAACTGTCATCACGTCCGATAGATTCTTCATTCATGTTGAGAATCTTTGCCCACAACCTTTGCATGTTGATTTCCATTGAGGTCTCTGGAGCCTGCTTGTCTGCATCAAGAAGCGAGTAACTGTTCAATTGTTCCCGGTCCAGCGTCCTGGTCGTTTCCTTCAAGATCTTCTTGTTTAATTTTCCAGACACAAGGAGTGGCATATGGTTGCATGGAATAAATGTGGTTGGTATCATGTAAGGGGGCAACGTGCCACGTAGCGTTTCGACAAGGGATGCCAATGTCATCCGCAACTCCTGGGTCATGTTGGAAAAGAGCACATCATTATGAGGATCTTTTCTACTACTTGGAACTTGTTTCTGACTTTGAGGGCAGAAATAGCATACCAAGCTAGTTACCCCATCCCTCGACTGAGAGTCTACAGCAACATGGTAGCTGCCATCTAGAGCGGCCTGGACGTGGTATTCGATATCTCCAAGTTCTATTCGCAGGCCACGAATCTTGGTTTGAGCATCCTTCCGGCCCGCGTATTCCACGGTACCGTCAGGATTCAGGAAGCCCAAGTCACCGGTTCGGTACATCCTATTCCAATGTCGAGAGTCACTATTTGGTGCCCAGTCGGGCATATCAGTCACGACAGCCATCCTTGTTTTCTCTTCATCTAGGAGATATTCCTTCAGAAGTGTAGGGCTTTGAATAGCTATCTCGCCTAAGCATCCCACTGGAGCAAGCTTCTTTGGATTATTTGGCTCGACGATCCAGCAATATCCACCGATTGGGTGCCCAAGTGTTAGATTGGATTCCTCGGTAGATTTCCATTCATGTGCTGCTGCAATGACACAAGTCTCTGTTGGACCCCATACGTTGAAAACGCGAACACTTCCGTACCATTGCTGAAATACTTCTCGACCGCCAGCCTCGCCGCCAATAAGTATCGTGTTGATCGATGGAACTTCGTCGGGCTTAATCGTACGTGCAAGCGAAGGGGTAAGCATCATGGAGTTAACAGAAGACTCATGAATGTAGGCCGTAAGGTTGTTCATTCGGTCGTGTTCTGAGGGCACATACACACACCCGCCGCCTATGAGAACACCAAAAATCTCCAATATAGACTGGTCAAATACATGTGAACTGAATTGGAGGTACTTCGTCGTATTCGAAAGTCCGATCCGGTCGCCGAGAGCTCTCATACTACAACAGACCGCACCATGTTGAATTGCCACTCCTTTGGGTGTACCTGTACTTCCAGACGTGAAGAGAACGTACATGAGATCACGCGGCGATATTGTCAGAGAAAGCCCGTTTTGGTCAGACTTTCCTCTCCGCAAGCGCTCAGAGAACGCGTGATCGATTTCGAGAGATTGCTGTGAAAGGCAAGCCGATATCTCGGCAGTGGCGGGAGGGAACATTGCGAGCTTGAAATTGGCTTGCTGGGCAATCTGTTGCAGACGTTGCGGAGGGTGTGTCGGATCAAGAGCCACCCATGCAGCCCCTGTCTTGTTGACCGCGATGGCTGCAATAGTGTACCATGCCGACTTTTCAAAACACAACGCAACCAAGTCGCCATGTGAGATGGCCAACTCATTGAACAAGTAATTGGCTAGTCGGTCTGTTTCTTGTTCCAGCTCCTGGTACGTGAACCTTCCATCCCAGGCGCAGATAGCCATGGCAGTTGGGTCTTGTCGTGCCTGGTTACCGATGAGAAGGTGAGGGCAGCTGTCGACAATCTCTGGCTCATAGTGTGAATTGGCTTCGTAAGCTTGTTTTAAATCCCATTCACCAGAAATAGATACGGATTCAAGCTTGGCATCTGTCAATGACGAAAACTGCCGCAGAACATTTCCAAAATGGTGGTACATTGCCTCAAGTCTGCATTCGGGCAACACATGAGGGTTGTAGCACATCACGAAGTCAATTGATTCTTGGTAAAGATGTACTTGAACGACGAGAGGGTAATTGAAAAAGCTCTCCATCATTTCTTCGTCGTTAGAGTCGCTCGAATTGAGCTCAATGACGGGCTTGGGGCCATCAGTAGTCGTCAAGTGCTGCATAGGCTGCACAATGAACAGGCTACCAAAATCACAGGCTTCCTTTGCATCCGGACAAGTCTTTGAGATATTTTGTAGACCATATTGCTCATAGGGAACCATTCCCAATATTTGAGCCTGTATGCCCTCGAGAAACTCTGAGACAGTACTATTTTGATCGATTTTAACTCTGACGGGTACTGTGGCGAGAGTAGGACCGGCAATGCTCACAACACCAGGAACCGGCGCCTGACGTCCTGAAACCGTTGTTCCGAAGCAAACATCATCTGTATTACAGTATCTGGCAAGCATATACGCCCACGCAGCGCGTAGAACAGACGCTCTAGTCGTAGACATATCAGTTGAAGCAAAGGTTATGGGCCTTTTGAACATCTTGATAGCCTTTTCAACCTTGTTGAGAGGATTCTGAGGGAAAATGGCCCTCTGAGCTCCCTCCAGCTGTGTTCTCCAGTATTGAGATGAGGCGTCTAGGTCGAGATCCTGAGTGTACTTGATGAATCTTGCATATGGTGGCTGCTCTGGTACCCCAAGCCCATGGTAACACTGGTTCAGCAGTGTGAGAATGATACGCATTGACCATCCGTCGAAAACTGCATGGTGTATGGTCCAGACAAATGCATGCCTTCCGCCATCCTCGATAAGGCTATATCGGCAAAGTCTATCACCATAGCCCATTTGCATATTCTGCATATCGCCCAGGACAGGCTTGATGCCACCCTCATCAGGTGTGTCCCAAGTTGTCTCGTTACGAAAGACAACTTGAATAGCCTTGTTACCCAACAGGATTATACGTGTTCTGAGGATTTGGCATTCGGATACTGTTCTATCCCACGCCGATTTGAAGCGAGTTGGTTCTACATTGTCAGGGAGATAGAAAATATGTCTCGCAATGTATGAACCAGGATGCTTTGCTGCCAAGGTAATAAGGCCTTCTTGGAGGGTTGTGCAGGGATAAATATCTTCTATATCCTGCTCGGTCGAAATACTGCACTGCAAACTTGCTTGATGTATCGCTATAGACTTTTCATCCAAAGCCAACAAGCTGAATGGATCGGGCGTGGAAAATGAGTTTCCATCAGGCGTCGACGAGATGCTCGCTGAGGCGGCCATTGCGTCAAGGCGTGAGTTTCCAAAAGCGGTGTTCATGTCGATTGCGATTCCATTTTCGCGAGCCAGGGATACTAAATGAATTATTGTAATTGAGTCGCCTCCAATTCGGAGAAAGTCGTCATATTTCCCGATATGATCAGAAGGCAGCTTCAGGACCTGAGCCCAGAGTTCTCTTAACTGGAGCTCCATTCTTGTCGAAGGCTCCGTCATATCTTGATTCTCAAGTGAAAATGCATCCCTGTCCATCGGGAAGAGGTTTTCACCAATCGATCTCAGTCCTCTTCTATCGATCTTCATCGAAGAGATAAAAACCATCCTTTTGAGTGACACAATCATGTTTGGTATCATGTAGCCAGGCAGCACATTTCTCAACTCTTGAACTACCTTCTTCAGACGTTGGGCCATTTTCTCATCCGGAATCAGTAGAATTTCTGATGATTCCTCGATATGCTCTGTGGGCTCACGTTTCCCCAATACCCCAGCAAAATTGACAAATGCAACCAACGCTTCCCCGCCCGACGGTTGGCGAACAACATCGACAGCAACATTCTCAGCTTCATGCAAGATAGCTTTGATATTATGTTCAATCTCTCCAAGTTCGATTCTTTGACCTCGAAGCTTAATCTGGTTGTCCTTTCTGCCACAATATTCTATATCACCTTCTGCAGTGTATCGAACAAGATCGCCTGTAGTGTAGAATCTGTTGTGTGTTGAGACATTACATGACTCCGAGAAATCGAGATCTTGAATGAAGCACATTTCCGTCTTGGCTGGGTCATTTAGATAACCTTGTGCGAGTGTGTTTCCTTGAATGATCAGCTCACCGATACATCCAATAGGTGTGAGCTGATTGTGATTATCCGGCTCAACAATCCAGCAAGCGCTATTCGAGGAACGACCAATTATAAGAGGAGAGTCCGAGACTGATTTGTAAGAATACATGCAGCAGATCACGCAGATTTCTGTAGGTCCATATGCATTGAACAGTCTCAACTTTCCAAACCAAAGATCAAGAACATCTTGTGCAGGAGCCTCTCCGGCTAAAACCAGGACTTCTAGTAGAAGTACCTGTTCAGGTGTGAAAGTCCTAACAAAAGAGGGTGTAAGAATTGCTCCTGTCACGCGTGCCTCTGTCATAAACTTGGGGGTGTCCTGTAGCCGCTCATCTTCGCTGGGAACACAGACTGTTCCGCCGTATGCGAGAGTCAAAAAGATCTCCATGATGCATGCATCAAAAGTGTAGGTTGAGAACTGCAACCATCTGGTATTTGGGTGAGGATCTATGAACCCGGCCAGCCCATGCATGGATGTACAAAGAGCCGAATGACTGATCATAATCCCCTTCGGTTTGCCGGTAGAACCCGAGGTAAACAAAATGTATGCCAAGTCGCTTGGAGAAGGTGGCATTAGCTTTTCCTGATTTCTGAGTTTCTGTTCTGAGAGTTTCGAGACGAAGGATTTCGAAAGATTCAAAATAGTAGCAATAGAGCCTATACTTTGACAAGCATTCAAAGTTGACGGTGAGACTACAATAATCGAAGCATTCACTTCCTTGACCAATGCCTCTCGGCGGCTTTCAGGGTGGGCTGGGTCTAAAGGTAGAAAGGCACCACCTGCTTTGAATATAGCAAGCATGGCCACTATCCCCAGAATGGATCGTTGAGTGCACAATGCAACAATGCTTCCCCTTTTAACACCTAGACTCTGAAGGTGTATTGCTAGGGATGTTGTCAGGTTTTCCAGCATGGCGTATGATATTGACTCTTCAGTTGTGTAGATAGCCTCGTGATCAGGCAGCTCCAAGGCTTTTTGGGTTATCATATGATGAATACAATCGGCATGAAACTGGACTTTGTCTTTGTTCAGTGCCACAGAGTATTCCAAATCCCAAGATCCTGAAACAGATACCGATTGAAGAGTGTTACTGTTTCCTTGCTGAAGCTGGTCAACAATATGACCAAAGTGGCGAGACATAGTACCAAGCTGTGACTCAGTCAATGAATTCCGATCGTATACGAACGTAAGGTCAGCATGATCCCCTGCTAGGGAACATTGGGTCACCAGAGGGTAGTTGAAATAATCCTGCATGATGTCCAATGTAAGCCCTTTTCCTTCATCAAACACCTCCACGACCGAATCAATCAAGCCATCGCTAGGCTGTTGAGATTGGACAACAAACAAACTGGTAAAATCGCATGCTTGTTTAAATGAAGGGCTGATTCGAGATATCTCCGTAAGGCCATACTGTTCAAAGGCTACCATTTCAGATGCTTGATCCTGGACTTTGCGTAAAAAGCTTGACACCTTCTGCCTCTTATCCAGGACGATCCGGACTGGAACAGTAGCCAAGACAGGACCAACCATGGATTCCAATCCAGGCACAGAGGCATTTCGGCCTGAGACAGTAGCACCAAAGCATACATCATCGGCATCACTATACCGGGCAAGAAGAATGGCCCATGCTGCTCGCAAGATTGTAGCCTTTGTAATTGAAGATTTTGTTTCAATGTCAAGTGGGATGCTGCACTCGAAGGACCCTGTGTCCCTCTCCCGGCTTGGGCTCTTCACCTTTTGTTCGACAGGAAATTGAGCTCTGCTTGCACCCTCGAGCTGCAAGGTCCAAAAGTTCTCGGCTTGAATCTTGTCAACCTTCAACGCATACGCTACAAAACCCGAGTATGGTTGCCGTTCAGGTACACGAGCATTGTGATAAGCAGTACTGAGAGTGTCAATAACCAAACCCCAACTCCATCCATCAAATGTGGAGTGGTGATTGATAGATATAAAGTATCTTTGGCCACTACTTTCTTCAATCAGGGCATACCGGCTGAGCCTTGAGCCATACCCCATTTCCAAGTGCTTGAGTGTCTTAAGGTAGGATTGGAGATCATGACTCTCAATCTCCTCCCACTGAGGAGATTCTTTAGAAATGAGTTGCAATGATTTCCCATCAACGAATACGATCCTGGTTCGAAGGTTGGTACATATCTCTACCGTGCGGTTCCACGCCATTTTGAATTGCAGCGTGTCAACACGACTCGGTATTCTGTACACGTATTTGGCGACATACGATCCAGGAACCTTCATTGTCAGAGCCATCAGTCCTTCTTGAAGTTTTGTGCATGGGTAGACGTCTTCGATGGCCAAATCAAGAGGTAGATTGCACCGCATGTGGAAATCATCCGCCGTCAGCCTCCCGCGAGTCTGCTCATCGATCAAGCTAAATGGTGCAGCCGAAGTCTCAGGATTCTCTCCATCATCTGCACTGTCTGATGCTTTCTCAGCCACTTTGCATAGCCTTGGGTCATCAAACACATCTTTAAAAACAATATTGATTCCCTCTTGGCGTGCGTTAGCCACAAAGTGAATAGCAGTGACAGAATCACCACCAATCCTGAGAAAGCTGTCATCGCGTCCAATAGACTCTGCAGGTATCTTAAGGCTCTGTGCCCACAATCTTTGCAGCCGCTTCTCCATGGATGTCTCCGGTGGCCGTTTGATACTTTCGCTCAATGAATAATTCGCCAGCTGATCAGGGTCTAACATCTCCGTGTGACGTATTAATGCTTTCCGATCCAGCTTGGCAGAGCTGTTGACTGGCATATATCCACACGGAATAAAAAGCACAGGGATCATGTACTGCGGCATCATCACGTTCAGCTCGCCCAACATCCCGGAGACCTTATTCTTGATCGCCTCGGTCATGGGAAGAAAGATTTCGCTGGCCTCCTTGGCACCGGAACTTTCTTGCTTCGCCTCCTCGGTGAAACAGAAATGCGAGATCAACCTCATAGTTGCCCCGATTTTGAGTACATTGACGGCAACCTGCGATGCTCCCTCTAAGGCATTAAGAATTCGATGTTCGACCTCGCCTAAGTCGATTCGAAGGCCACGAATCTTTACTTGCGCATCACGGCGGCTGGAAAACACAATATTACCATCCTGGTCATAGTATCCCAAGTCGCCCGACCTGTAGAATCTGTCCCAGTCCGGCTGGTCTCTTCGTATAGCCCATGCAGGTACATCTTCAACCAGAACCTCCTGTGACTTTTCTTGATCTCCTAGGTACTCTCTCAACAACGTAGGTCCTTGAAGAACAATTTCGCCTACCGCACCAATCGGGGCAAGTTGAGATGGGTTCTTTGGGTTGACAATCCAACAGTGAGATCCTATAGGCTTCCCCAGAGTTAACGGGTGCTCTCTGCTCGAGTTCCACTCATGAATAGTGTTAATGACACAAGTCTCTGCAGGTCCCCAAGCGTTGATGAGTCGCGTATTTCCGAACCACGACTGCAACACGTCATGCCCGAGAGCTTCACCAGCGGTCACAATCATTTTAAGGCTCGGGTAATCTTCCGGCTTCAAAGAATTTAGAAGTGTTGGTGTGATAATGGCTGCGTTTACTTGCCTGTCATGGACGAATTCCTTGAGCGAGTTCATTCGCATGTGCTCCGATGGAATACATACACAGCCACCCAACATGAGCGGCCAGTAAATCTCGCCAATGCACAGGTCAAATGCGAAAGATGCAAACTGCAACATTCGTACGTCCGGCTTCATACCCAACGCTCTAGTCATAGCCACTTGACTACTCGCCACTGCTTTGTGTTCCATAACAAAACCTTTGGGAGTACCGGTGCTGCCAGAGGTAAACAAGACGTAGCATGGATCTCTGGGAGTAACAGCCGATGTTGGCTTTCTTGGACCACTTTCAGGGTTACTTCGGGCCAGTTGTTCGTCAAGTGTGGCCGTCACCTCTAGTACATACGGGACTAGCTTTCGGCACGTCTCAGTATTCGATGGTGAAACGAGTGCGAGCTTTGCCTTTGTTTTCTCAATGACCTGCTCATGGCGCTGCAGAGGGTGTGAGGGATCCAGAGGCACCCATGCGGCACCAGCCTTGTTAATAGCCAACATGGAAACGACCATCCATATAGATTTCTCAAAGCAAGTATGAACAAGATCTTGCGCTTTGATCCCATATTCAGTGACGAGCCTATTTGCAAGCCGGTCCGCAGCGCAATTGAGTTGAGAATAACTCAGTTCTAAGTCCCAGGCAGAAACAGCAGGCTTATTCGGTGTTCTCATGGCCTGTTGTTCAATTAAATCGTGAACACATTCAAGAACCGCCTCCGATCTGTCTGGGTTGAAATTCACCGCTTTCTCAGCGTCCCATATGCCAGCTACTGATACTTCCGAAAGTGGAATTTTATCTGAAGTAACCAATTGATTTGTGACATGTTCAAAGTTGTGACAGAGCGCCTGAATTTGGAACTCGGACAGCACTCCTGAGTTGTATGTCATGTCCATCTGAACGAATTCGTCATATACGTGACACTGGATTACAAGAGGATAGGCAAAATATCCCTGCATCAAGTCCACGTCTGTACCTCCATGAGCACTTGTAGGGATCAATAGAGCATCTGAATCGTGACCCTCGTTGTTTCCAGACCAGTCGAGGTGCTGTCTAGGTTGGATTACCAGTAAACTGGTAAAGTCACACACATCCTTTTCAACTTGGTCAAGTTTGGAGATATTCCTTAGGCCATATTGCTCGAAAGGAATCATGTCTGTGGCCTGCTTTTGTAGCTGGCGCAAGAATTCAGACACTTTTTGGTTTCCATCTAGAAAGACTCGGATCGGCATTGTTGCTAACGCTGGGCCCGCCATATCCAACAGGCCTGGAACTTCTGCTTGACGACCAGCCATGCTAGTGCCAAAGCAAATATCCTCAGTATCACAGTAAGACGCAAGGATGATTGCCCAGGCGGCACGGAGAATGATGGGTTTGGTAACGGATTGGCCAGTTGTACGCTCTTTCAGCTCGATTCTTTGGTGCCAAATCTTGGTTGGCGAGGGTTGATCACGACCGCCTGAGTCTGAATCTGGGGGGAATGCTGCTCTGGTGGCTCCTTGAAGCTGCATACTCCAATACTCGTTTGACCTTTGTTCATCCAAGTCTAAAATATGCTTGACAAACCGCGGGAAAGGTTGTAGTTCTCGAATATCTTGCTTGTAGTACGCGCGCTGGAGTGTGTCCATTATTATCTTCGCGCTCCATCCATCGAAAACCGCATGATGCATTGTCCAGATGAAATGCGCGCTGTTGCCTTGGTCGCCCTTCACCAAAGAAAATTGGCTGAGCGGCGAGCCATATGTCATCCTTACAGACTGAGCCTCATAGACCGCCTCTTTCAAGCTTCCAAACTCTGCAAAATCCGGCTGCTCAATATTGTGGACAACTACTTGCAGGCATAGTCCATCAATGAATATTATTCGGGTTCGGAGGTTGGCGCAAAGCTGGACAGTTTGCTTCCAGGCATTTGTAAACCGTTCCATACAAATGCCGTCTTTCAACTTGTAGATGAACTTTGCAATGTATGAACCAGGCTGCTTCTCTGAGAGTGCCATTGCACCTTCTTGAAACTGCGTACAAGGAAACGCATCCTCTAGTTCTTGGTGTGGCAAAAGGCTCGCGCTGTGTCTCAACGTTTCCTGCCCATTCTTACTGCGCAATGATTCTTTCAATAAGCTGAAGGGCTCGATTTCAACGGAGGCACTGCTTTCGCCATTTAAGACTGTGGCAGAGGCCGCCACTATCGACAGGCGCGGGTCTTTGAAAATAGCATTTACGGTGAGGCCAATACCTGCATGGTGTGCCATCCTCACAAGGTGGATGGCAAGGATAGAATCACCTCCCAGGCCAATGAAACTGTCGTCTAGGCCAATAATGTCCAGAGGCAGTTTCAGAATATCTGCCCACATGGCCTGAATCTTCTTCTCCATCACCGTCTCTGGCTTGCGCTTCTTGCTGCTCTGGAGACCATAACTGCTTAGCTCAACCGGGCCAAGAAGGGATGTGAGTCTGCTCAGCTTCCTCATGTCTATCTTGTCCGATGTCAAAATAGGCATATAAAAGCAAGGGATAAAGCGAGTAGGAATCATGTACTGCGGTACTCTAACGCTCAACTCTCCTACTGCGGCTAAGAGAAGCGACTGGAGGTCTTCACTAAGAGGAAGAAATGGTGGCTTCTCAGCCGACTGGAGCCGCTTTTCATTGAAGCAAACGTATGCAACCAACTGAGAGCCAGTATCTCCCTTGTATACGTCGACAGCCACTTGGCGTACTCCGGGTAGGACTGCCAAGATATGATGTTGTACCTCCCCAAGTTCGATACGGAACCCACGAATTTTGACCTGGGAGCCTTTCCGTGAAACGAATTCCAAAGTTCCGTCGGGGTTATACCGACATAAGTCACCGGACTTGAAGCAGCGGCTGAAGTATTTCGTGTTTTGGTTGAGAGCCCACGGTGGAGGTGTTCCCAGTATCGACTCTTCCGTCTTCTCTCTGTCCCGAAGATACTCACGTAACACTGAAGGGGTCTGGAGAAGAACCTCTCCCACAGTTCCAGTAGGTGCTAGTTTACTAGCATCGTCAGGATCAACAATCCAACAACTTCCTCCCACTGGATACCCGATCTTCATAGGCGATTCATGTGCAGATGAGAACTCGTGTACTGTATCCACCACGCAAGTTTCAGCCGGCCCCCATCCATTGAAAAGACGGACTCTCCCAGCCCAATTATCAAGAATATCACGGGTCACAGCCTCTCCAGCAAGAAACAGCATTCTGATACCAGGGACTCTGTCCGGGGTCAAAATACGAACAGAAGAAGGTGTGAGAAAAAGCCAGTCAATCTTCATGTCGTTGATAAAGAGATCAAGACCGTTCATTCGCACAGCATCTGGAGGAACGCAGATGCAGGCACCCGCAACCCAAGGCATCATGATTTCGCCAACGGAAAAATCGAATACATAAGACGCAAATTGGAGCGCCCTGGCATCTGACTGCATCCCTAGTCGCTTGACTATTGCAGTCAATCTCGTACAAAGCCCCCGATGCTCAATCACAATCCCCTTGGGCGTTCCCGTGCTGCCTGATGTGAAGAGTACGTAGGCAGCGTTGTCCGGGGATACCTTGCAAACGCCATTCGCTTTCGGCTGCCTTTTCTGGAGCTTTTTATCAAGAGTGTGTCCAACTTCCACCACTTGTTCGATCACCGCAGAACACATATCGGCCGTCTGCGCGGAAGCAAGCACAAATCTCGCTTCTGTTTGGGAAACAACCTGCCGGTGACGCTCGAAAGGATGTGATGGGTCAAGAGGGACCCAAGCACATCCAGCCTTGTTGATCGCTAGGATAGAGACGAAAAACCACGCAGACTTTTCAAAGCAAACCGGTATGAACTCATCAGACTGAACCTCGTAAGTCTTCACCAAATAGTGTGCCAGTCTATTTGCCTTCTTGTTCAGTTCTTTGTATGTTAATTTCATATCCCAGGCATCAATTGCCAATGCTTCGGGTCTGGTCTTCGCGTGTGTCTCGACAAATTCATGGGCGCAACTTTCAATTATCTCAGGCTCCTCGCGACTGTTCGATAAGTGGGCGAACTGGACGTCCCAAGGTCCTGAGATGGAAATCTCCCCGAGCGTTCTGTCCTCTGGAAGGAGAATTTCATCAACTGCCCGCTTGAAGTGGTGGGAGAGTGCTTCCAGTTGCACCTCACCAATGACGTCTGGGTAGTAGGTAAAGTCGATCTCAACATGGCCGCCGCCAACACGCAGTTGCACTACGAGAGGGTAATTGAAATACGTCTTCATTGCCTCTTCGGACAGGGCTCTCTCTTCTCTTCCGCTTATCAGAACGCTGTCCTCGGCGGTAACGGCAACGCTGTCCAGGTGGTGCATAGGCTGAACAACCATCAAGTGGGCTAAGTCGCAGGCGTCCTGCGCATCTTGGCTCAGCTTGGAGATATTCTGTAGGCCGAACTGCTCATACTGGGCCATTTCAGCCGACTGAGACTGTACCTCGCGAAGGAAAACGGAGAGAAGCTTCGTATTGTCAATCTGAATACGGACAGGGACGGTTGCAATCATAGGCCCTGGAATTTCATTCAGTCCTGAGATCGGTGCCTGCCTTCCAGATACAGTCGTTCCGAAACACACATCCTTTGTACCGCAATACTTCGCAAGAACAATCGACCACGCGGCTCGAAGTATAGTACCGGCGGTGGAGGAAGGTTTCGTCAAATTTTGGAAGGGCATAATCGATTTCATCACCTGGGCGGAGTTTGCCGGCTTAGCAGATAGATGTGAGGTAGGAAACTGGGCCTTGCTTGCGCCCTCCAGCTCATTCCGCCAATAATTACTCGCGTCTTCAGTATCAATAGACTGGATGTATTGGATAAAGTTGGCGTAGGGTCGCACAGGTCCCAAGTCGTGACCATGATAGGCATGGTATAAACCATCGAGAACAATCTTCATTGTCAGGCCATCAAAAGCAGCATGATGAATAGTCCAGAGGAAATAGAGGTCACCATCATCTTGCTGCACGATTCCGAAGCGATTGAGTCGGTCTCCGTAGCTCATCCTGACTGAATTGCTGATTTCCCTGACGTGTGCCGATAGACTAACGCCAGTAACAGGATGCTCCCAAGCGATATCGTTTTTAACGACGACCTGCAGAGCTTTGTTCTCAACTAGAACAATTCTGGAACGCAGGCTATCACAACTCTGCATAACCTTTTCCCATGCTTCCTTGAAACGCGCAAGATTAAGGCTATTCGGTAGCTTATAGACCCAGCGGTGGATATAAGAGCCTGGTTGTTTGACGCCCAGCGCCATGAAGCCTTCTTGTAGAGTCGTACAAGGGTACACATCCTGGATTTCTTGATCCTCCAGTAAACCGCACTCGACTTGTACTTTCGCTTTTGTCTCTTCAGAATCCTGGGGGCCTAGCATGCTGAAGGGTTTAACGTCAACTTCAACATGGTCGTCGCCGATGGAAGCAATTGCGGCCATTTGAGAAAGCCGCGGGTGCCGAACAACATCAGCTGGCACCATGCGAATACCAAACCGGCTAGCCAAGGTTACCAGCTCTATGGTCACAAGAGAATCGCCTCCTAGCAGAAGGAAGTTGTGCTTTTTACCGATCGCCGAGGCTCTCGTAGTGACGATGCCTTGGAGCACACGCCTCCATAGAACCCGGAGGACCATCTCAGCTTCCGTTGTCGGGACCTCATCGTCAGCCAGTTCATCTGAAGCCCCCTCATTAAATATGGATATCAACCGTTCCCTTCTCTCCTTCGGTGGCATTTCATTTAGATTGGAGAAAGCACGCCTCATTCGTGAGCTGTCATCTGTGTCATTCCCGGTGTGACCGTAGTCCCAAGGGTACGATGGAAGTCCCGGGATTGCCTTTCCATGTTTGAAAAGCGATGTCAAGTTTTCAACTGCAGATTCTTGCCAGAGTCTTCCGACTGCTGAAAGAAACGTGATCTGGCTGTTTGTATTCCGCTTCTGAGACGGCACATAGTTATATGGCATGTCCTCAGACTCGCAAATCTGTCGCAGTGGCACACCGAGCGTAGAATGCGGCCCAACCTCCAGGAACAAACACTCTCCTCTATTCTCCAGATACTTTTTGATAGCAGTGCTAAAGCGGACCCGGCTGTTGAGATTGGTGGCCCAATAATCAGGTCCGAGGAACTCTGGGTGCTCAACCACTTGGCCCTGTATACTGGAGATGAAAACCAATCCACGCCCATTTTGAGGCCTTGAGAAGCAAACGCCCTCTGTCAACAGATTTTCAAGAAAGCTTTCGGTTACCGGGCTCATTTGATCTATATATGGGGGATTAGCAATTAAAGCCTTGGATGGGGGCAATGGAATTGGACTCACGAGAGTGATAGCCCATATTGACGTTCAGCCTGCGTGCAGACACATCAGGTCTTTCCTTTTTAATCGACGACAGAATCTCGTCCAAGACCTTTCGGTCTCCAGACAGAGTCGTGCTCGCTGGGCTATTCTCGCAGCCGATCACGACACCATCTCTCAGGAAGCCGTGTATCTCGCTAGAGCCCAAGCTCACAGCCGCCATGTCTCCATCGGAACCATTGCCTGGGGCCACTTGTCCATAATAGTATGAAACCGTGATTGCATGTTCCATGCTCAGATAGCCAGCAGCATATGCCGCGGCTACTTCGCCACCTGAATGGCCAATAGCGGCTTCTGCATGCACACCCAGACGTTGTAGCCATCTGAATAGAGAAATTTGGAAGGCGGCACATATAGGAGGTGACAACTCAGGATGCCCAATTCGATTTCCAGAATCCTCTGCACCTTTTTGTATTTCCTCTGTCTCAAGAGTCAGCAGACTGTTTTTCAACTCAGATATACCAACTCGAACGCAACCTACCCAAAATCTTCCATGTTGGGGGCTTTTTCAGATTGCCAAGAATCTCGTCCATCGTTTCTATATCTGCTCGAAATTCAGGGTTAGTTTGGATTAGTTCTCTTCCCATCCCTGCCCATTGTGCTCCCTGTCCACTGAAGACCAATACTAGGCTGCGTGGTTGGGCTCGACCCTCGATACTGCTCGAGGTGCTGAGAAACTCTCCCTCGTGCAGAATTGAGAAAGATCTATGCCGCAAGGCTTCACGACGCATAGCCCTCGTGTAAGCAATATCAGCCCCTCGGGCCCTACTAGCTTTATGAAAGTCATGGTGAGTCCGGATCTGCCTGGTCAATGACGACGGGGTCTCCGCAGAAAACAGCAACAGTTCAGGGTCTGCTGGCTCTGGGGTTACGAGTTGAGTCCTCGTGGTGGAGAATGATTCAATAATCAACTATTTTATGGTTAGCCCGGACTAATTTTGCCCTTTTCTGTAGCGACTTACATGGAAATTGTTCCCTTGAGACCCCAAAGAGTTTATGCTAATTCTCTCAGCTCGGTCCTCTGGGAAAGGGGTAGGTTCTGATGGGACCAGCAGTCTTGTTGGGGAGCCTGTCACATTTGATTAGAAAGGCCAATTTGATTGGTATGCTCTGAAGATCATACAAGTTTGTCCTACAGAACCAGGGCGAATACTTTGCGGGATGACGTTTCGCTCGAGTGAGAGTAGGGCTTTGATCACGCTGGTGATGCCTGCAGCACCCTCGTTATTACCCAACTTGGATTTCGCAGAACCCACGCTGATATTATTTTCACCGAAAACACGACGTATAGAATCTGCTTCTGGGTCGCCCTTCTCAAGGAACCCAGTACCATGAGTCTAGCGAATTAGTTGCAACGCCAATCCCCTCTAGTCATAGAAGGGTCATACCTCGAAGTAAGCCGTCCTGGAGGGATCCAAGCCAGCTTTCTCATACGTCTTTCGTATTAGTTCTTCCGGTGCTTCCTCCAGGGAAACTCCAGGCACACCATTTGTATCGACATCGTCCTTATGTATAGCGCGGATGACTCCCCGGATGGGATTTCCATCTGTAAGAGCCTCTCGTAGGGATTTAATATATACTGCGGATATGGCTTCTCCTCTCGAAGAGCCATTGATTTGGTTGTTGTTGTTGAAAGCGTCGCCTTTTTCAAGTGCGCTTGTGTCATCATGTCCAGCGAACAAGTTCACGCCAATAACTAGGGCAGAACCAGCCTCACCCTTACTCAACGAGTTGTAAGCCTCGTTGAGTGCAATGAACGATGCCGACGATTCGGAAATCACATCCTTGCTGTAAACTATGTCAGTAACTTTCAACTTTAAGTCAGACAGTTTTTAAGAAGGCTGAAATACCTTTCCCCGTCGAATTTCAGTGCTCGACACAGACTGTCTGCCATACCCAAAGCTTGTGGCCTGGAAGCTGCAACCAAAACCCTTGCTTTGGTCTTCCCTTCGGAGCCAACTTCACACGCATCGTCAAGACACTCGCGTGCCACTTCCAACACTTTCTGCCATCCTTGGGGCTGATTTGCAAATGATTTGGGGATATCCGAGAAAAACGAGGCATCGAGGGCATTTTTGCCTTCCCCGAGCGACAGTCCATCAGGCATGCAAGTTTCAGACATGGTTCCATTTCCACGAGCATGCCTGGTAGCCAATCCAAATGACCGGGCATCCAGATTGCTCGTTAGAAGATCCCATAACTCATCCGGATGAGAGATACCGCCAGGCAGACGGAGAGCCGCTCCACATATGGCAATTGGGGCGAGCCCGGCACCTTCACAATCTTCCTGATACTGATCCAATGGAGTTTGATGGCCGTTTTTCGAGTCATCAGAGTCCTTACGGCTTTCATCCGGGGCTCTGGCGACCCAGGTCTTCGGTCGCAGATTCAGAAGACGAAACATTGTGGAGACGGATATGTAGGGATAGAGCGGCTGACTGAGCGCCACGTGCAGTTCCTAGCAATGAACGTGCAATGAGGCGTCGGTCAACTTTTCAGAGAATATTCAGATATCAAAAGGAATGGTTGTTGACCTTTGAAAAGATCGAGAAAGGTATTTGGTAAAATCTGGTAGAAATGGGCGTCTATGCTACTCCAAAGGGAGACAATCTGGATTCAGGACCGAAATTTCTGAAGGGTGGGCGTCGACCTCGCCCTTGGGGAGTTGGGGATTATCGGCAGCAACTGCCCGACGCGTACAAGGGATCAATTCCATGAGCAATATTCAGACCAGTAATGCAATTAGGTTGATAGTCTCGGATGAAGGGGTTTTTCGACAGGAGGTTGTCTGAGACTCACATCCACAAAACCCACCTGTGACAATGGTATGGTCTTACAAGCCAAACCTATGATTGGCCGCTGTAACTTTCTTGGGCAGGACTTTCAAGACAACCTCCTGGATCAACCATAGAGCCGTCCTTGCCATAATTTCTCTCCCCACTCTCATATGTCATCCCTTTCACTTGAGGGAACGCGTCAAGTTGGGCCGTCATATGAAGACAGCATTTGAGCTGCAATGCAATCCAACCCTCCAACGCTTTTCTTGGCATTACCTCCATTCGGATCTGCAGCCATCCATATTCAGCTTCCGGCAGGCTCTCTTCTACACCGCTTTATGCTCACGAAGCCGGTTTCCTTCCAAAAATGGCCTCTGCGTCCGTACTCGGGACCAAGCATTTCCCCATTGATCGCAGCGCCGAGGAATCCCAACCTGAAATCTACGCTACGGTCGGTCCCGAAGCTAGATATTCAAAACACGGCGCTCTGGTTGAATCATTTTCGGGAAAATGTCTTTGTCTAGTAAAGCCACAACGGGAGGGCCGCGGAAATACTCCGCCCGCAAATGGCTCTTCGTCGCATGCCCTCACACCCATTTCTAGATACGTAATTATGAAGTGTTTGTACCCTATGACAACATCGGGCATGATTGGCATCTACATAGAAGTCTCTGAGCCAGAGCGGGAAAGACGAAATTCATCAAATTCATTGGAAAGTGCTGAGCATCTAAATCCAACTGGCAACTATGCGTGAGGTGTATTCCCTAAGACCATTGGCAGGCCGTCATCAAAACTTGAGTAGGCGCCTAATGTCTACTGCTTTTTAGCATACAGACCAGAGCAGGGTGCATGTTAGCAGCCTGGTAGAGCTTGCATTCTTCTGCTGTTCGCGGGTCAAAGGTGGGAGGGAACGGATTTGTGAAAGGAAAAAAGAAAACCCGATTTGGTGGAGGAGCAATCACACAACCACTGGCCCACAAATTTTCACGTGAGATGATGTTTGCTGATGAGTCATCAATGGATCTGAGTCCCCACATTCAATGTTTACAATCACCTCTTATCAAAGCGCGTCCATAGAGCTACCCTACACTCCGTAATGACGATGCCCGAAACAGTTTCATCGAGAGCGTGAAGCACTTAAAGTTAATTACTTATGCATTCTTAAGTGTAGGTATCTTGTATTGATTAAACTACCAATTGCAAAAGGTTTGGAAAGAACCTGTTGGAGGTCGCACGTGGTTAGAGCTACAAGCACATAATCAACTACGCCCAATGCTAAATTAGGATTAAAAATGGCTAACCAGATTATCGTGATATTTTGAATGCAACGACATTTTAATTTACAAATTCAAGATGATCAACGTAGTTTTTAGGATAATTCACTCTTACAACGAATGCAACGATAAAGAAACAGACGGGATTAGGCCATTTTTGTCGGCGGCGACGATACAGGAAGTGCAGGCAAAAAACTACGCTGGAAGAAGTGCAGGTTATTGTGATCCAATTAAATTTGTCCATCAACAGCTTAGTCATCGAGTACGAATGTTCTACGCGTTTAAATCCGATGGAGTTGACGAGATTGTGAGTCAATGGATATAGGGATAGGCCTGGATGTCCTATTTCTGGAAAGGATGGCATTGCGCGGTGTATGGTACGTGGACGAGGACAAGTCTGACTATGCAATGGAATCGTGAGAGGCTCTGTAAAACATCAGATCATTTGGTGACGAACAGGTACGAGCCAAGTGCGTTGCTTCACTCGCTGAACAGGTTACTGGTGCCTCAGATAATTGTTACAGTCGGTCAGCGTTTCCAAGGCCGTCATCTTTCTGGTATAATATTCGCGTATATATGGAGCTCGGGGTCCGTTCTGAGTAGGGTGGGCTGATGCTGCGACTGGAACGTGCCCTCCGGCAAGGGAAGTGGCTCCTCGCTGCGTAGCCCGTCCGACCGACGAGGTTTTGTGACGTAGAGTATGGGTATGTCGGGTGGCTAGGCCTCACGATCTTGGATAGCGGGTAGGAAGCGATTCTTTAAGACGGTCAAAATGGATAATTCGGGGCCCAGTCGAGATGGTTGGTCTTTAGTTGTCGCGCACGATCCGGACATCGATGAGGTTGTTGGAGGTTGGTTTTCAATTTGTCGGAGCCTGGCTGTGTGGGATAAACGTCAGTGCCTTGCTAGCAGAAGGAGAACATCAACTTGCTGGAAAGAAGGAATGCGAACCTGCTTGCATTCCTCTGGAATCTGCCCACTAGATGGACGGGCCGGCCGGAGCGCGTCAGCCTCTGCCGTTACCTAATCGGCTGGCACCAGTTACATTCCATGGCATGTTCTTAGGTAATCTACGCGCCTTACCTTTTCCTCCCTGCTTTGTTTTATTCTTGTGGAATCAGCAACATGCAACAGGTTGGATTTTGTCTGAAGATATGGGGAACATCATTTGACCATGTTGCCTTTTGGAGGAGGATGATTTGGATAGTGGAGGTCGTCGACACTTTCGTTTATGAGAGCATTCTCAGCTTTCAGAGCCCTGATACTAGGTGCCTTCGGTAATCCCTAGTCACGCGTCGCAATGCGCCCACTCTATTGCCCGGTATCTCAGATTGGAAAACATTCTTGTGCATGGTCACAAAATTGACCCGCACCTGGTAGCTCAATGAGTGGTCTCTAAATTGGCATCGTTTACTCCGTACATGCATCTAGGTCCTGTTTTGGTGTTTTGCCAAATTATTGGCCCACTGGCGGCTGTTCTGTAAAACGTCTAACTTCTAACTTAATTCGGCGAGGAGGAAAGGACAACCAGAGTGGATGAATCATTGAATGGTAAAGTCACATTTTGGTGCAAGAGTGTTTAGGAAGCCCTGTTTTTCATATTCATATATAAAATTGAATGCTATTTGAAAATGCTGAGTTGGCCATTGGGCCATGCTACCAATAACCTCTAAAAAAGAAAAATAGACAGATAGTGTCATGATGAAATAAATATCGCTTAAAACAAAACAAAGAAAAGAAGAAAAATATTATGAAGCTGATTGAAGAAAAGACCTGCTCCCTGGGCCTAACTTCCAATTGACACTCCATTGGATGTCAATTGCAAGTGGTCTGGTCCCAGGAACAAGGCTGAGAATTTCGGAGGCTTAGTCGTCAATCTCCTCCTTCTTCTTCTCCTTCTTCTCCTTCTTGCCCTTCTTCTCCTTCTTTTCCTTCTTCTTCTCCGACTTCTTCTTATCATGCTTCTTCCCCGACTTCTTCTCCTTCTTCTTCTTCTTATCCTTGTCTCCATCCTTCTCCTTCTTGTCCTTGCTGGACTTGCTCTTCTTGCCCGCCTTCTTCTTGATGGCCTTCTTGACCTTGGACTCTAACTTGTCGTTCTTAGACTTCAAGTCCTTGAGCTCGCTCTTTGCCGTTGAGCTCTCCTTCTTAGCTGTCTCCAGCTTCTTCAGGACGTTCTGGCAGTATTTCATTTCGTTCTTTGAGCTCTTGCTCTTCTTCGAGTTCTTCTTGCTTTTCTTGCTCTTCTTGTTCTTCTTCTTGCCGCGGACAGCCAGCTGGACTTCCTCGTCCTCGGCGAAGCGAGCGACAAGCCCGTCGACGACGCTGTTGATGAGCTCGTCGCGCTTCATGGCCATGAGGCCGGTGTCGACCTCACCCTCGGAGCGGGCGGCTAGAATGCCGGCCTCTGATTCAGTCTCCAAAGGGTTGGCCATGGCCTGCCCGGCAATGCCGAGCATGAGGGCGGCAGTGAGCGCAAATTGCTTGAGGCTTGCCATTGTGTGTGATTGTTGCCGTTTTTTTTATGTGGGTGGTAGAATTGTGGTTGTCGGAATTGTTGGTTGAACGGATATTGATACCGATCTTTTTGTTAGGCTAGATCAATCTTATGGTTGAATGGATCTTGTTGGTGGAATGAGTTCTGGTTGATGAAGATCTAGTTGCCTTTATACAGATGTTTGGGGGCTGGGGAGAGCCTCATGTAGGCTATTTTGAGCTACAGACCCTTCTGCGATTGCTGGGAGGTGCGTAAGACCACTGCGATAAAAAGTGATAAAAAAAGCAACGAGGGATTACAGCTCCGCCAGTTTCAGGAACACCACTGTAGACCCCTTGTCCTGGTCGCTTGGGAGCTCTCTGCTTATTTTACGATCGCCCGCTAAAAAGGTGAGCTGGAGCCTGAACATGGCACTGACGTACGCTATGCCATGCTTGTAAACCTCTCAATTCGGGGCCGAAATTAAGCCTTGGCTAATCCTTAGGTCACGAAGGATTGAGCTGACTGGGGTAAATAATGTGCCATAAATCCCGAGCGAGGACAAGCATCACGCGATGAGCCCGCCCGAGTAAGATCGACATCTGTTCTATTTTTTAAATATCTTATTTCGCTCTAATAATCTGAATAAAAAGTGGCAGTTGAATGCAGAGTCACGTACATACGTGTGTAAGGTCCGAATACTCGCTGTATCAATGGCGGTGCAGCGGGACGCGAGGGGTCTTTCGCCATACCTGTGCGCCGTCATGGCTGACAGAAATATGCAGTATGCTTCTGGATATTACTAAGGTCGCAGAATGATGGCAAGTAGGTACGCTCGTCATTTGCTTTTGCTAGCATTATTGAGTTGTTTGTTTAGACCTTCCACTTGCATACCTATGCAGAGACTGATGAAATTAAACCGCTGTGAATTCCCGGCACAGCAGGACATTAACTGTTTGTAAATTTCAGGAGCACTTGGCATCATCCCCAGGTCCTAGCTATATTTAGTAAGCCGCGATTATTTTAGCACAAGTGCAAAGGCACAGCGATCATGACCCTCATCAATCCCTGCAGTCTTACGTTGCCTGATAAGCTTGTTCTACAAGGGTAAACAAAGGATTTGAGCGGATTTAGACTTGAGATGGCTGGATCCCTTTTTTGATGCCATATGCCGATCTGCTACTGGAAATGGGACGGCCTTCAATAATTAGAATGGGACAAGTTTATCGGCGAATAGCACCAGAACTCTCTCCATTGAATGGCAGAAGGGAATAATTAGTATCAGAATGACGAAAGATCGTAGATTCGTCCTACAGTATTCATGATTTTACCGGGTTCGTAAGTGGACGGTTGGCACTTAATTAATGGTTTGATCTGCTATTATTTCCTCCTTGGTGAAATCCGTAGCCTCAATAGGATCCCTGGTCTCACGAAATATGAGGCTGTATCTCGAACGAGGCGGCTTAAAGAAATCAAGCTCATACGAAGGGTAAATAAACAGTATTGTAATTTTGTGCCATTTGGGACTTTGCATTTTGAGTATAGCCTGAGCTTCCATGGCTTGCTTCAATGTGATACCAACGGATTTTGTTGTTTGTATTGGCTATCTTGCCTCTCTTGCTCTGCTCCTAAGTGATTACTGGATATCATACCTGCCTGCTTCCTTTCACAATTATCTTCCTCTTCTTCCTGGTTTCAGCGTGTCTTGCCTTCCGAGTCCTCGAGCAGATAGGCCATATCGTGGGCCGTATGTCAGTGGCCTAGCAGACATGGCATTGGACTTGGCCTCTTGGTACATGTCAAAACACTCGGCGATAACTTGGTCAAGATCCAGGTCCTCCGGGGCCATCCGACTATCCAAAAGCTCTTTGATGTGATCTTGCACCTTTTCGTATTCATACATGCTCCGTTTGTGTCTCTCAGGCAGCCCGCTGTTATGAACAAGAGCTAAAAGACCCGCTATGACCGTGTTGGTGGCTCCCAGGAGGGTGATGGGCGTTCCGTCCCTCACAGCCACAGATCCAAGTGCCGTGAGGCTGGCACCCAGGAGCAGCTGCAGTATCATAAGGAGCCACTGTAGGACGCTGGTAGCCCAGTAGGTATAATAGTACCTGTTTCGTTGAGTTACAACGTCTCGGTACAATCCTGGTGGCATCCCTCGGGCTGGCCACCATGAGGAGGAGGGATGAGTTGGGACGGCTCGTTCAATATCTTTGAGTCCACCAACACTTTGAGCGAGAATCTTCCATCTCGATGGCGATAGAAATCGGTGGTGCTCAATTTCCGAATCATCAGATGCAACTGAGCTTGGGCGTTGCACCTCCTCCTTGGGGTTGCTCATGTGGGTAAGTTGGCTGCTTCGGTTGCTGGATTCGCCTGGCAGAGGCAAAGGAGTAACCACCGCATTGGCGATATTCTTCCCGGCTTGGGACATTCTCAGTGGGTGTGGAAGCAAGGGAATAGTTAGGTGATGGGTTCTGGGGATTCTTGTGGCTTTGACGATTGATGTTTAATGAAACTCAAGAAAGCTAGTGAGCTGCTAATTCACCCTACGAGAGGAGCTTCTTTATCTCTTTATAAATGGTAGTTAGTGGGACCACCACATCAGTTCCACAGGACGAACCGTGGCTGAGAGTCAGCTTATCATGCAGAAGAACCATCGGCGATTATTTGACGATCATGTGGTAGGTTTCCTCAGAGTCAGTAGTGTCAAACACCGGAGTGCCTCGTTTTCCCGACCGGTCTGGGCAGTGATGTGGCCACTTCTTTGTTAAGCCATCGGTTCGAAGAAACAATCCGAATACAATAACAAGCCATGAAAATTCTTCAAGGTGGCGCAATTTTATGCTTGTCAGATTCTAAAAGCATACATGAAGACGTCATATTGCCATTGATGCGCCTTTTCTCTTGCCTGGTAAGGCTGTGGCTACCACAAGTTCCTAGCCTCAGCCTGTGTCTTGAACTTTGGCAGTGTCTGACACATTCTTTAACAGAGCCACAGGTAAGAGGCAATGAAAACCTTACTAATTTAACATTTGGTATCCGAGAAAGCGTCTCCGTGCATTGGATCATATCATGTCGGGCGGTGCTGCAAGCTAATCGACAAGGCAAGCCGGTAGAGCCTACTCTCCAATCAGTTAAACACATGGCTGCATCGAGGAGGAGAGGACTTTTGAGAGCCAGGAAGACTGTGCTTGTGGGTTATTGATTGGTTACCCACTGTCAGCCACAATCTTATGTTGGATGCCCAGTGCAACATCGGAGGACGCGGCAAGGTGGGCTCAGCCTGATGGAATTTTATCACTATCTTTGGCAAAGCGTTGTTTCGCAGCGAGTATAGCAGAAGTTCTTCTATATCTATGGATTATTGTGGTGTGGGCTTGGACTGCTCGTCTTGACGGCTTCACTTAATCTTATGGCGGTGTGGGCTCTTCGCATGTCTACTTTTCGTGGAAAGACGGGTAACTTATTTGGACATTTATTACTCCAAAATCGTACAGCGAGTAGCGAACATGGAAAAGATTCATATTTATTTTAAAGATTACATCCTGTAATCAAACATAGGCTAAGCTCTTACATACCAGCTGTAGTCTGCCACAGATTGAAGAAAATTGTGCAAGGCAGGCAAAGAAAGGTACGAATATGACAATCGAGGAATTGGTTCTCGAAGGTATAATCTCGCCCAAATCTGAAAGCAATCGTCGTTTTCCTCACCGAAAACCTGTTTCATTTTGCTCAATTGTTCGGCAGGGGTATCTAACCAATAGTCTCTCTCACGTAGGAAGCTCTCATACACTTCATCACGTTGTTTACGTGAGAGAATCTCCTGTTCACAATCAGCACAAATACAAGTAGCTTAGCAGGAGAGTTCTCTAACCTTGATATGCTTTGATGCCTCGCTATAACTGCTCAGGCTTGGCTTACCGGCGGCATTGATTCTCACCCATTCGTCGAATTGATTCAACTCCCACCAACCGTTGCACCAGCCTTTTCTTGGAAGTGTTCCATTTTTCCAGCCATCCATGAGTTCTCCCATGGCTGTGTAACACGGGATCGACTCAAGCTTTGGACAGTTTGATATCGAAAGGAAGTAGAAAACGTTCGATCGACCTGCAGGAATGTAATGCATTGCCGACGCGATATCTACTCGCTCCCCTGACTGGTGTGGAACTGATATGATCAAGGGCTCCTCTAAGACCCAGGGATGTCTCAATCTAAAGATGATAAGAGCGAGCACAGCTCTGATGCCGCGACCTACGTTTGGATGAATTTGAAAATTATCAAACAACACCCAGTCGCTGGGTCTTCTAGTCCTCCAGATGGCCAATAGTAAAAATATGTTCATGCTTGAGTGTTGCCAAAAGACGAGGAGCCATTGTGACGTGTATGCTATTGCGGGTAACGTGAAAATGACAATCTGCAAGAGGGCGATGAGTATCCTAAAAGGCGGAATGTTCAAACTTGTCCCCGTGACGAACATCTGAGACCCAGGATATCGCTCTGCAAGCCGAAGTGTCTGAATTGTTGATGCCAGAGGTGCCACCGCTCTGGCTTCAAAAACAACGGGAAGATGGTTGATAGTTTGATCAACTGTTTCTTTCATCCCAGTGACGACCAGCAAATTGAAAAGACGATCCAGAATTTCCCCGGTCTTGAGAATTTTCCAAACATCCCTCACGTGCATCCCAAGGAGGCCTTTACGCAACATGGATCTCGGGTCATGCTTTCGCAAGGCAAGGAGAGACCTGCATAAAGTGTATATGGCATTGAAGAACTCAGTCAGAAGCCCTCTTTTGTCAACCTCTTCTAGGAAATTCACAAACTGGTAGATTACTTGAAATCCATTGTGGCGAAAGAATGCATCAAGCAATGAGACCAACGTGAGATTCAGGAGCTCTACCAACTGGGGTAATTCGTCCTTTATAAATAATTCTTCCCAGATTCCGGGAGAAATGTTCCCGAAATATCTCAAACCTCTTCGCCATTCTTCAGGCAACACATCCATTGGAATGCGGCCTGTTTGGCGATTTTGCTGCCACTCCAATAACTGCTTTTTCAACTGAAGTGCCTCGGCTTCAAGATCTAAGGATTCAAACTTGTGAACCTGCGAACTTATCTCTCTAAAGATAATCATCGAATGATGAAGCCTTCGACCGAATGATGGTGATTTGAGGGCATCCAGGAGCTTGGATGCGAAGGATTTGGAGGATCGAAGGCGGGCTCTCCCAAACATTTCATGTATTTCTGTCGACGAAAAGCAGAAATCATCGTAAGCTGTAGCCTCTAGACTTCCCGTTGCCTTTATAAGGTCAATAATCTCGTCGGTCCCTTTGTCCCATTGGCGGGGAGTATTCCCACTAAGGTAAGGCATTGCTTGATCCACGATTCCGAGGGCCGAGCCCTTGAAAACCCGATCTCCTTCGAGCCGGACAAAGATGGTCCTCCCAAGGCGATCACGTGCACCTGGATCGGCTCCTTTTGACAGGAGGTATTTGACAGTCTCTACCTGCCTCGCACCAGCAGCAGAAGACAGAAGTGTACTCCCCAGATCATCAATAATTGTCACCAACAGCCTCGCTTCCTCTGGGGGGATGGAATCGAAAAAGACTTTCAGCAAATCCAGGCTTTTTAGAGCTGCCCTGAATACAACCGAGAAACCTATTCAAGTTAGGTCGGGACACAACACCAAGGTTGGGGGACTAAATACTGACCTCTGCCGGCATTGTTGTGCAAGTAGTCGGCCCCGCGATGTAGAAGGAGTCTAATGATTTTCATACGCTGCTTTATACCACCCCTTGATTCATCGTAGGCTTCGACTGCAAGGTCTAGCGGTGTCATATCTCTTATGTACCCCGAATTCGGAATGTAATATCTGGCATCAATCTGAGCGCCAGAATCTAAAAGAAGCTGAACAACTGCTGGTTCTTCGGAGTTGACTGCTAGGTGCAGTGGGGTCAGTTGGCATTGCCCAGAACGGACGTCACACCCAACTCCCTCCGTATTCAGCAGGAGTTTCACAATCTCAACTCTGCCTAATTCTGCTGCTAGATGAAGAGGATACCAACCTCCAGACTCCATCGGTAGTTGTATCATGGCTTGGGATGAGTCGAGAAGAAGCTCTTGCTGGACAGCACTGATATTATTGCCATCAATCAAAGTGAATATTCTTGGCCTTTCTATACATTCCGTCTGCAATAGGTCGGCGACTGCCGATTCAGCTGTGAAGGTTTGGCCTAATGCTACCTTCCCAATGGCAAAGATTTCACCAGCGAGCGAGGGGAAATATTGTATCTGTGGATCATGCTGTCAGTACACTGCACAGTAGTTTTGTGATATGAAGGCCTGTTTCACCTGATCGATTGAGAGACGCCCAACTCGTTCTGGCTGTGTCGTGTCTTCCTGGGTCTTGTAGGTCTTAGGGAAGAACTGGCCTCGGCGGAGACTGTGAGCCATTGGCTCAAAGAGCCCAGTTTCGCTGCCAACCAACTTTTCGGCTTGGATTCGGAGCTTTTTAGGTAAGCTATCTAGCGCAATTTTATTGAGAGAGAGATTCGGGTGGACGATACTGCTGAGAGGCTGTGCACAGTATTAGCAATCAAAGGAAGTGGCCGTTGTTTGACAACCCACTTACCAGCGAGCGAGATACGAAACTAACAAACGGACGCGCTCGGAACCTATGCTCCATCTTCTCCTTTTTATACTGATCACTGTTGGACGAGATTTAGTTCATAGTGTTATCATGTTTCAGCACATGCACTTACCTTCCGAACAACACAGATCTCATCCCTCCAAGAGTTGCCAGCCTCTGTGTCGGTTCCAACCTCAGACTGTCTCGTACTGCAGAGACCAAGGGCTCTTCATTGAAGAGAGAATTGCCAAGGTCGGATATATTTACAGCTGAATGCTTTTGTAGCTCCCTGAAGGTATCCCCATTGAACTTGATCTCGTCAAGTTGGTCCATTGTCCAGCCTCCAATCTTCGCTGGGCTAACGCCTCCCGTCCCCATGTAGAAGGCTAGAAGACCAAATGAGAAAACATCGCTGACTGTAGGAGCGACTCGTGCCAGCGTACGGATGGACTGAGGGCACCCTGATAGCAATTCAGGTGCAGCCCATTCCCTAGTCCCTCCTCTTACTTCGCTGTCTTCTTTTCTTATCATCCGATCAGAATCCGCGTACCCAAAATCGCTGATCTTAGCAACCAGAGCCTCTGACGATTGATAATGAAACAGCAATATATTGGACGGTTTGAGATCAGAATGTAGCACGTTGGAGAAATGAAGAGCGGTTAATCCATCAGCGACATCGGCAATGAAGGAGCGGACGGTTGAAACACAAAGGGGCTGCGTTTTCTCTCTTGCTTGAAAATAATGTTGAATCGTGGGTGTTTCTAAACTAGCAAGCTCGACGATCATGATGGGAGCAAACAGAGTGTCGTCGATCGAGTCCCACGCCAAGTCTAGAAGACGGACGATGTTACGATGGCTGGCAAATGGCTCCTATTATATGGTTAGTAAATAGATAGCCTGATGGCAGTGGATTACCTTCATTTGCCATGATCCTAAGCTCTTGCAAAATGTCCTCAACTTTTGAATAGAAGACATCCCGCTCTTTCAGGTATACGTAATCATCCTGTAATGGAAGGCCTGGGTTTCTGCAGGGGATATGATCTCGTCTTATGCGTTTGACAGCGACACGCTTTAATTCTCCATTCTTCTGCCAGTTCTTTGTCAAGACCTCGAATGTGGCCCCGCGGCCAATAACTGGAGCATCGTCCAATCCGATTCTTGGATAGACTGAAATCCTCTTATTCGGTGGGATTTCTTCGCTGATAACGGAAATGACGTTGAGAATATTTGCTTTTTGGTCTCTGCCGTAGAGATAGTTATATTGCTGGGCCTTGGGTAAGGGAGGCCGCGGATGTTCCTGCGGCGTCGAGGGTTTGACGCCATTACTTCGTATGCGCTGCCGGAACTTGGCCTTGAAGGCTCTTCCGTTGTCTACAGTTCGTTCCATGGCTTTAATTCAACACAAGGGAATGGGTCCATATGCGGAGAGCGACTGAGACTGTGAGGCCTCGAGAAGCCGCCCAGGAGGTGGAAGACTGCGAAATTGAAGAAGCCTACGTTATCTCCCCCACTGTGAATTTTGTTTACCTGAGCCACCTGATCCTGCACGCTCTGAGAGTGCCGAGTTAGCCTGGCGATCTGTCTGGCCAATCAATTCAATATTGATGGCTGGCTAAGCCCCCCATATGCAGCTCAGCCGCACGTATGAATTATTACTGGGCGCTGCCCAAGGTGGGGGGAGTGTTGATCGCCTTACCCAAGTCACCCTCTCATTAATCCTCCCACAAATGTGTCACCTAGATCGACCTTCAGTTGGAAGCGCAGTTCTCGGTATACTCTATGTCGCTGCCTGTGGATACGATACTGGGCGTTGCCAGCGTCGGCGTCGGTCTTCCAGGGTTGGTCCAGGTAGGCGTGGGATGGTGCGACCTTTTGCCATATTGGATGCTGACGTAGCTTCCAGTCGATCCTCCAGTCAACAGCGTTACTCCGGGATATATACCACTCCTACCTCCAAGGATACCCCGATGCAACCAGCTCATGGGTCATATTGAACAATCTACTGGCATGGGTCGAGGAAGATTCCGAGTTCTTGACACGGAACTCTGGGTCTCTCACCATCGACATAGAGTTCAGGCTCAAGGGCATCCTGTCCGAGTTGAATCGCAGCCTTCAGAATGCAGTCGAGCTTTTCAACCGCGCCATCGACAGGGAGGGGTCAGTCAACCGGCTTCGCTGGGCGACGGATGTGAAACCACGTCTCGATACGCTGATCCCGCACCTGGAGGCCTGGCAAAGACGGTTCAACGAGATTGTTCAGATGCTCTACTTCACTGGGAAATGCTCCAATAGAGGCAGCACTGGTGAAATCTCGAGGGCAGAGAGACTGAGCAGCAGAATCCTGCAAGCTCGGATATCGGAAACAATACAGGATGATCTCGAAATACGGCCTGTTGTAGATGCGGACGGGTGGTCGAAAGCAATCGGACAGGCCTCGATGAAAACGGTGCTCTACGAGAACGAGGATACGGGAACCCGGTGCCTTATAGAGCGCCACAAGTACGGGGTGGAAAAGTCAACATCCGAAGTCAAGGCTGGCACAAACTTGGTCACTCGCATTCTTGCTGCTGCTGGGATGGAACCACAGGAGACTCATCTGCTCCAAGCCATTGGCTACTCGCATTCCGCTCACCCCGCACGCGAGATCGATCTTGTGATGAAGTGCCCCCCAAATCTTGGAGCTCCTCAGACCTTGCGAAAGCTTTTGGACACCGGAATGCCCTCCGTCAATGCGAGATTGGAAGTGGCGAGACATGTGGCAACTGCTGTTTTCTATACCCATACGAGCGGGCTGGTTCACAAGGCGATTTGCCCTGAAGCATTTCTGGTCTTCCAGAATGTAAAGGACAAAGCGGCCACAGTGGAAGATCTTATTCCAGATCCCGTGGGAGTAACATTCCTGACTGGATTCGAACTGGCGCGCGAGGATTCGCCGTTGGCGTACAGCAGCATGAATGGGAATACAGACTGGCAGCAATGTATGTACTTACATCCGTCTCGACACCAAGGGGGTACGAGATATACACTTGCCCATGACATCTATTCTCTGGGGGTGAATCTTCTGGAAATCGGGATCTGGTCATCCTTCACATGCTATGATACGCAGCAGGAGAAATTCGTTTTTGATGATGAGGTGCTTCAAGGGGGAAATGAGATATGTGATGAGATTCGCCAGGGCATCCACAATGCAGGGCTTCGATTAAAAGGTCTTTACGAACGCCACGCTAACGATGTCCTTCCTGTGTACATGGGAAGGCGATATCGAGATGTCGTCAACTTCTGTCTGACCATCATGGACGATGTCCCAGGAGGTTCTGAGAAGAGTCTTGGCAACGGACCAGAGGAAGAGAGACTTGGCCTAAGCTACATCGACAAGGTGCTAGGTGAACTGGACGAGATAAAGGTCTGAAAACATGCCTTCAAATAATCTGGTCTCGGGTAATACATTCCCTGCGTTTGGTATGTTGGGCGTAGTCATGGTCTGTAAAGAAGATAGAAGAGAATACAGCACTGTTCATCCCTTGCATAAATACGAGCTCATTTCGGGAGCCATTAGCGGCATATGCCGTTTTAAATTGAGTCGGGATATGCCGTGTAGATCGAGCCAGAGGTCAGTCAGCACTATTGAGCCAGTAAGTAAACGGTGAGGTCTAGATCATTGGATGCAATGGATAAAGTGCGAGAATCTGACCTACAACTTTCGAGATGCATAATCCATGAGGGCGGCCCTCCCAAGGCAGACTAACAGCGGTGACGCCTGGCTGCCTCGACTGATAAGAAGCCAGCTGTTCAGCTGCATGTTCAAGGAGGTAGAGATTGGGCGTGGCATTAGCCAAAATAGCATGTGTCCAGAACTCGCTCCGAGGAGGGGGTGAGATGGGCTTCCGTGATCGGTTCTCGCAGGCTCTTTGATGGGTGTGCGATGGTTGTAACTAACACCAAAGCTCCGCCATGAGATGTTTCCATGTTGATACAAAACATGTAAATCTGGAGGTGTGGCCACGTCCTGGCCATGTAGACCAATCCCGAGACCTCGGTTGCACCCCAAACCACATAATGGAAGCAGCGGAGCTGAATGCTGCATATCTCCAGGGATCATATTTATGACCTGGCAGTCCACCCTGAGTGATTTCGTAGTTGGCCGGGGTAGTCCCAAAGATCCTACATGTCAATTTATCCTCATCCATGGCGGCCTGGTAGGGGCTCGCCAAGCTGGTTCTCTCCCGACCTCCGACACACACCCTGTTGTTGTATGTGTACATGGAGAAATATGCTGCAGCCCAGGGCACCATTGGTGGTTGTAGTGGAGACTTATATGCAACCAGCCCGTCCATCATGATGCTTTAGTGCATACACCGGGGTCACCACTGTCACCGTTGTGGTTAGAGTTTGTAAGCACCCGGCTACCACAGAGGAATGGCTGCCTTGGGCTTTGCCTCGAAGAGCATCGAGGTGTGGAACAGCTGCGGCCTCTGTCCCCTGTCGAGCTGGCCTGCGGGTCTCTGGCCAACCAAGCTCATCAACCCCACGGCGGCAGAGTTGCATTGCATGATACCCAACCGGGAATATGAGGCACACACGTTGCGGCGTTGGGGATGACCATTGTCTTGGTGTGGGACTTTATAGTTGCACCATCCGATCATTGTTTGGCTTCCGGAGGTTAGAATCCGTCAGGCTCGCAGATATTTCCTTCCTTTATTTTCTTTATTTCTTTCTCCTACTTGACTGTGTCAAGGATTTCTTTACAACAACTTAATTGACCCGAAATTTTATGAAAAGCCTGCTCTTGTTTTCACAGATGTCCCCAGATAGCGTATTAAGTCGCCTCTTATTTCAGCACCCCTGCTGCGCAATATGCAATTCTTCATTTCAAACAAATAATATCAACAACACATGGCAAAAGCAATATCGAGTTCGTATGTGATCTCAACATGGCCTCCGCGGTAATTAATTCAGGAAATTAACCGATGAACTCTTGCAGTGTTCTGTGACGATGCGTATAGTACCAGCTTCAGCGGACTGGGTATTCGCGAAGCTCCTTTAGGGGGACGCTGGTACGTGCCGAAAGAATATGATGAAACCAAGACCTATAGCACGAGTATCAGTCACCCGAGACACGAATCAATCTCAGTAGAAGGCGATAAAGTGGAAGATATATCTTCCCGATGTGGATATATTGCGCACGAGACCTGCTGGCGCGTCCTCGAGAGAATATATGCCCCACGGCAAGTCCCATGGGAATGTTTGTGGAGGACGTTGGCATCCTTGCAAGGACTGTCAATGCAACGACTACAAAGCTATGATAGAGTAGCTCTAGGCAGGGCTGCAACTACCCATTTTTCTGAAGAGCTAGAAGTCTTGATGAATCAGGAACCTCAGATACCTCCGGCGCGAGTTACGGAGGTAACGCCGCCCGAGGGTTCCCTCGATGGTTTTACTTGCCTGCCGGTTGAGTTAAGGCTACTTATCGTTGGCCTACTGGATATGTCGGACGCGCTTAAACTCCGACAGTCGTCCAAAGCTTTTGCATTCATCTTTTATTCTCAGACCTTCTGGGGTCAGAGATTCGTATCTGGCCACGAGAGGGCATGGGTCTTTGGATTTTCAGACCAACGACCCCTTTCGCTCCCCGACTGGAGGTCTCTATACAAGCTTACAGGTCAACATTGCACGCCAGGTCTCCAACGAATGAAATATCTATGGCCATTCCTCCGAAATCTTCAAGATGTTGTACCAGATGAGCCAATCTCATCTTTCGCTGAGGATGCCGTGTGCGACTTTGAATGGAACTGGCTCTATCTCCCGAGGTTCATTCGTCATTCTTGGCAAGTCTCATATCGCCAAAAGGTCCATCTCCCTACTCCAATGGTGGCGATGCGCATTCATTTTGTCAAATTTTGTTCACAGTCCGTCGTCGCCGGCATCACCTTTCGAACGACTTGTGGGTCGACAAGGAAGATTGGATACTCAACATCTTGCTCAAAAACGCTTCAATTTGAAGAAGATCCGATGGGTTTGGACTTTAAAGTCACAGGAGATGGAATTATTGACATTCAAGCAGCTTATCCCGATAATGCAGAGCCTCTACCGGGTTGGCTAGCTGATGTTCACCACGTACCTCAGGATAGGTTGTCTCTCGTCATTTGTGGAAGAATTGGCGGAGTAGAAGGGATTTTTGATGTTTGTATTCTCCCGTCGGCCTTTGAAGTCGCGAAGACTAACTGATGAACTCCGATTAGGGCTTTAGGCTACTCGAGCTGAAATTGTCCGGTATTGACGATTGATTATGATGGGCAAACTTCTGTAAAAGGTCTCTGATGATGTTGAAGAAAATCTGAATGGTCAGAGGCCAATGTGAATGGAGGCTTGAATGGAAGCTGAGTTGCATTTACTGTGCGTTGCTTTCTTCGCAGGCGTGGCACGATTGTTCTTGGTGATTCATGGGAGATTACAATATTCTGGTATTAAGAATACTTAAAAGTCATTATCCAGCGAAATATTCACCGATCCCGATTGTTGCTGCTGCATGGATGTATGAGCATTCTGCAGCAAGCAGCCCGAAACCTCGGTTCTCATCAAGGGCTATTATCCAACCGAGGCCTAATCCATCGTAAAGAATAAGTCCTCCTTATGAATTTGTAGTTTTTGTGTGAAGTAAGCATTCTGACTGTGATTTGGGAGGGCCAGTCTCATAAGCTGCTCCCAAACTGCCTTCCTTTATTCCCTTTCCTTCTAGCACGATGTTGAAAGACCGCCAACGCACGCGCTGATTGCAGACTCATGAAAATAACAAATTCAGTGTCGGATTTTGTTCACAGCACACGCGAGTAGAGGACAAGTGTTCCCAGAGAACAGAAGCGCCAGTAGAGTATCGCATGCCCAGCTCTTCCCGCGTCCTGCTTGATCCCAGCTCCTCCCGCGTCTTGCTTGATCCCAGCTCCTCCCGCGTCTTGCTTGATCTTGATCAGCTCTCCCTTCCTCCGCTTTTCATGCACAAGATAAGATGTGGAGAATCGAGATCCCTAATTCCAATTTCCACGTGAGAGGTCGGCTTAGACTCTTGAGGGGGGTGTATTGACAACCGCCCGGGGTCCGGTACCTTCACGATGAGGGCCACCTGGATCCTTGGCATGCGTGCAGTGATTTATGAGCGCTCTCGTTTGTATGAAGTCTCCAAGGGTCCATTGGAAGCGATGTAGTGATGACTAATTAAGTGTATTGGTATTGGGTGTCGTAGCTGCTCTATCATAAAGTCATAATCATATCCATAATGGGTAGTATCCGATCCGTAACGATTAATCCCGTTCCCGCTAGTGATAAAAATGCATTTCAAAAAAACAGTGTATCCAGTGTAAGGGTTGTGAGCGACTGCTAAAAGGCGAAGCCGTGAATAGCCACGAGTTGTGAAGCCGGAGCAAATGTATCCAAAAGAAGAGTTGTGGCTAGGATGATCCAAGACTGGGGTCTTCTATTCTTCGAGTGCCGGAGCTCCAGCCTGCCTGTGCTCCGACTATGCAAGGAGTAGATGTCGGCTGTGGAAAGGGCTGATTGATTTCATCCCACCGCCATTTGCGAGGCTGCTGGTTGGGGTCAGGGCCTCTCTCTGTCAGCCTCACACAGCTGCGCCAGGCGCGCAAGCCTCCTCTCGATGTCCTGGAGGCCGGAGCGGATTCTCTGGATGTGAGCTACACTCCTAGAATGCTCCCGGTCTACCAGAGCCTGTGGCGGCGGCGGTGGCGGTGTCGGCAAGAATTGACGAGCAGATCTCAGAGCCTGGGATGATGTCTGCTCTGGCTCCCGCCCGGGACGACGCCGCTTCCTGACGACGTCGCCTCCTGCCCCCAAGGAAGGATCGTCGCACTCTGGGCTGTGGGCGCGCTTCTTTGACGGGCGGGCGGGTTTGGCGGCGATGGAGGTGATGGACGGGGTGTGGCGCTGCTTCTTGGGCACGTGGACAGGGACAGTCTCAGACTCAGGATCGGGACTGCGCGGTCGCTTGCGGGCCAGACGGGCCTCATCGTCTGGGCTGGAGTCTGGTCCTGGCGTGTTTCCCATCCTTGAGGGAAGGCGGCCGAGATGGTGCGCGTGGCATGTGACTGGCTGAGCGATGGATGGATTGGTGATGACGATGGATTTGATGTGGCTGCTTGGTGGTTAGTTTGATTGCAGGTTTGTGCCAAACTCAGTGCAGGGATGCAAAATCGTTTCAGATGGCCCCGCTTCTCGTCCCGTGAGTCACCCACTGCGACTCGCTAGAGAAATCGTCTTCCCTGTATGCGATGACGTGGTTTGGCTGTTCCATTATGCACCTAAGCAGGCTCGTGTCACCAGTCCAGCCCAGCCCAGCCCATGTCATATCCAGCGAGAAGATGCTGCTTCTGCGCAAGTCTCGTTTTTAAACCTTATTCGGGCGGGCTGGGAGCAGAATTCACACTGAGACCGCTTTTGTCATTGGTAGGGGAAGACTCAGAGATGGAGGAAAGTTCAACTCGGCCCCTCAGTGACACGTGGAACCTTGTCTCCCGTAAACATGTGTCCCATTGAATTAGGAATAGCATTGTTATTGATCTTGACGAACTCACGTGCGGTTCAACGCGCACGCGTAAATAAAGTTTGGCAGCACACCAAAAGGGTGTGTGCAGCCACTCATGATGTGTTGTTAATCTCTCATTGCCCATAATGACCGTCTTCTAGGGACAATACGTTATCTTTGATGGTAATCTTCGTTGGTCTAGGGTATGAATGCACACTGATTGTCTCGGGAGCACTGATGAGCTGCGCTGGACGCGCGCCATAAACGCTAGAGCACTCCGCTGTATTTATTCGTACCACCAATACAGCTGGAGATGAAATGCCTGAGCACGGGCCACCAATTCTGCCAGTGCCAAGGCGTTCATCGTAGATTTGGAGCGATGCGTGACAAGACGCGACTTCACCGCGTTAAGTGCGCTGAATTCGTTAATTAGCAGCCATCGCTCTGCCCGATATGCACATATCAGAGGCGATGATGCTCTGTTAACCAGCTGTTTCACAGCAGCAACTCCAGTGGTAGCAGTGACAGAAGTGCACCCTCAAACCCTGCTCGGAGATCAAGATTGCAAAGATTTCGGGGAAATTCAGATTCGGAAGCGGTTGGATGGAAGCTGGGGTATTTCAGAGCATAGCCAAGCCATGATGCCCTGAAATCAGCACATCGTCATATTAGAGCAAATAAACCCACACCAGTATGCAAAGAGCACCGACAATTCTCTTTATTGATAAATCTTGCCAGTACTTATGCTGATAAGTATAGAAATTTTCCATTAGAGAGCTTGACCGGGTACTTGATCGCCGTCATGCCCGACTCGGTGCTCGGGATCAATAGTACCCGATCCCCGACGCCCCCATCCATGGAGGGAGGCGAAGTCAGACTCTTGAAGGTCAGTTTCCAATTCCAGCATGCTTGAAACAACACTCTCTGGGAAATGATCTGCTCTGACTGCGTCGGCGAATGGCTTGGTCGTCATCAACAAAGCCATACTGGCTAATAAGCTATGGCATTCAACGCCCTTTAATCAAAGCTGCTTACAGAGTTGAGGGATTTGGAACTTTAGGATCTCTGTCGGTGGCAGCGCAGCCGGAGTTTCAAATACCGATTAGCGGCTGCACAGACAGATAGTAGGAGACATAAAAGCTTCATGTTTCCAATCTACCGTGAAGCATAGAACCAACAAGCCCTGTCATGTCAAGGCGCGGCAGCAACTACTAACATCATGCGTTTCTACCAGCTCCTCCCCGTAATTGCCCTTCTAGGGTTTTCAGAAGCATCTGAATCTCTTTCTAACGCAAAAGAAAAGCCGAATATCTTGTTTGTTATCCTGGACGATCTTGATTATCACATGACCGACTTAGGCAGTGTGATGCCATCCGTCAAGAAGCACATTATTGACCAGGGGACAACATTTCCCCATCACTATTGCCAAGTATCTCTTTGCTGCCCTGCCCGTGCATCCATCCTAACTGGCCAAACTGCTCACAACCATAATGTGACCGATGTTCACTACCCCAGTGGTATGTCCAGCTATGCTTTGATGATGAGGAAATATGACTGACATATACCTACCATCTTAGGCGGATACCAGAAGTTCTATGAGCAAGATTTCAATGAAAATTATCTTCCAGTTTGGCTTCAGGAGGCTGGGTACGGCACATACTATGTAGGCAAGCTCCTCAACGACATCACCACCCAAAATTACAATAATCCTTACGTGAACGGCTGGGATGGTATCGACGTGCTGCTCGATCCATATGCCTACGACTTCTGGTCTCCAGGCTTTGCCAGGAACAAGGACCCATGGGAGCGGTACAGTAACAACTACACAACGGACCTGGTTTCTCTCAAGTCGATGGGCTTCTTGGACGATGCCCTTGCCGATGACAAGCCCTTCTTCTTAGGGGTTGCACCCATCGCTCCACACAGCGAAGTGCTGGTGAATACTACTAGTCTTACCGCGACGTATTCTGCGCCCAAGCCGGCTACGCGGCACATCGGGAAGCTTGCAGGTGCCCAGGTGCCACGAACCGATAATTTCAACCCAGACAAGCCATCGGGTGCTAGTTGGGTCAAGACCCTGGACCAGCTGAACGAGACCGAGGTTCAACAGGCCGACGAGTGGTACCAAGCTCGCCTCGAATCCCTTTTGGCTGTCGACGAGATGGTGGACTCATTGTTTGCCAAGCTCGAGGAGAGTGGCAAACTAGACAATACTTATGTCGTTTTCACGAGCGACAATGGTTTCCATATTGGCCAGCACCGGCTCTCTCCCGGGAAGACATGCGGGTACGAGGAAGACATCAACGTACCGTTTATTGTCCGTGGTCCTGGAATCGCCAAGGGACACACCATGGATGTCGTCTCCGGCCATATCGATATTGCACCAACCATTTTGGAGATGGCCGGCATTTCTCAGCGCGACACGTTCGACGGTAGCCCCATTCCTCTGACTGAGGAGGCACTCAAGGCTCTGACGAAGCCAAAGACTGAGCACACCAGCATAGAGATGTGGAGAAGCAACAACCAGAGCTTCTTCCGGACTGGAAAGACTGAGGTGATGGAGGAAGCGACAAAAAATACGTACAAGTCGGTTCGTCTCATCAGCGGAGACCACAATCTGTACTACTCTGTCTGGTGCACGAATGAGCACGAGCTCTATGATATGAAGGCAAGTGTTGGCTCAGCTCGCTCATTCTAAGCATCTTGCGTGAAATAGGACTGACAGCTTCACAGAGCGACTCGCAACAGATGAATAATCTATTCGAAGGCGGCTTTGGAGGGAATTATGAGAATGCTGACGTTGTTAGACTTGCTCAGCGTCTTGATGCGCTCCTATATGTCCTCAAGAGCTGCCGCGGAGACTCATGCCGCTATCCGTGGGATTCACTCATGCCACTTGCGAAGGTTACTAGCCTGTCTGATGCCATGAATTCTCAATATGACGAATTCTTTGAGACAGTTCCAAGGGTTTCATTCTCGTCGTGCCAGCAGGATCATATAATCGAGGCGGAGGGACCTCAGTTCGAAACATGGACTGTCGAGGGTAGCAAGACAGCTCGTGGGATTGGTATGGGTTGGGATCCGATTCAAGCTTGGATGACTTGAGGGCGTTCATCATTGAATTTATGCTCAGCGTATCTTGTAGTGAGAGGAGGATTTGCTCTCATGCTAGGAAACGAAGTCTCGTCTACGCATGGTGGCAGCGGGCAATGAAGGGAAAGGTCCCCGGGTAATTTTCTAGCTGGCTAGCTAGCTTCCCCAACATACGGAGTGTGAACCACGTACAACCTATTTACCTGGAGGAAGCAAAGCTCCTTATCATACGAATGTAGTCACACATAACGGCACCTTCAGGTGTGTACCCAGTTGAATTTATTCCAAAATTGATTCATATACTGGAAATCATACTATGCTTGTCAACACTTCCAAAATGATTTGGGTGGCGATGTCGTGCTGTCAGCCATATCGGGCTCTTCCATTCTGGATGCAGTCAAACCACGTCCATGCCCAAACAAGATGCTTACTCAGAGATCATAATCTCGATGCACGTACTGCTAGTCAAACAGTACTAGACTGGATGATGAAAACCTCTCAGCTATCTCCGCTCATGGAGCATGGGCAGGGGCAGGCATGAATCCAGGAGGGCCGTGGGCTGGACCCCTCCCGATTTCGTGGCCCCCGCGGATTGAAAACTAAATCGAATCACGGGACTGGTTGCAGTCTCGCCATGAATAATTTGATTAAATAAAAGCAAATAAAAAACAACATGGTATAGCAACCATTGGCAAATTGCTCCGCCAGCCTCGACAAGTTACCTTTCCTTACTATGACGGCGAGAACCATATCCCTACATTGAAGAGTATCACAACTCATTAAACATGCCGTGTGCGAATGTGAGAGTAAATAAATCTTTATTTTTCGAAACATTTAGGTATATATGTTGACGATATATCATGTCGCAAAACTGGCATCAATTCTTCTAAATCTGACTCGATTCGATACGAACACCGCTGGTACACGTGCCCTCTAATGACTAGCAAGGGCTAGTGATTATTGATACATCGGATCCGTGTTCAATGACGCCCTAGTCAACTCTTATGGAGATGGCCGACTTAAAAATGCCTGGGTCTAGATGGCATGTCACTCGATTTGGCTACGGAAGCCCCTCTTCGTTAGGATGGGGGGAACGTGTTGATGGTACTCGGTCTAGCCCATCATATTGAACCCCACAAGAGATAACATTCTTCACTTACGCATAAGTGACTGTCATCTGCGTTTCTCCAATGTCTAACGTAGGAGGATGTGGTAGGAAGACGTGGTAGGAAAGAACCGGGACATCTAATAGCGTGGACGGGATTTTACGAATCCAAAAGTGGAAGGTCGCCAGGCTTAGTGATGTAAATTCTCCCTCATTTCGTCATGGTTTACTTACTGTTGGCTGTTGCTCTGTTGGTCCTCCTGCAGATTCAAGCCCCCATCCCATAACCACATCATGAACGGGATCTCAGGAGCTGACAAAGTACATCATACCTTGCGACGGATAACAGCTTCTCTAGAAATATACCAGATTCACAATGGGGCTCGTGAAATGTCCATGCTAGACACTGGTAGGCGAACAATGTCCATCTTTTGCCTTACTCCGCGTTGTCGGGGTCTAGATGGCCCCAACTGCCAATCCTCATCTGAAAAACCCCTCCCCTCCCCTCCCCTCTCCCCCCTCTCCAGTAGACCCGTAAGCGCCTCTAGAGCCTCACTAGTCAGTCTTCCAGCAAGTCAAACCAGGCTATTCCTTGGTGCGGGCACATCGAACTACTATCTCAAAACCCCCAACGTCGAGGGCCAATCACTTTCCCAGTGATTACTCCGCACCAGGGCAAGACCCGCGACTATCATTACCCCAACGAACGAACCCTAGTCATTCAACATCGGAATGTGACCGAGCTAGAAGGTTTCCAAAGTCCGTTCTGGGGGACCTTGGCTTCTAGAGCGAGGCTAAGAACAAGCTAAAGCTCTTGGATCACACCTCCATCGGCAATTTTCTGCCGTCCGTGTAAGCTTGTGGCTTAAGTCTAATGGCAATCTAGGCAGCGTGAGGCATCCGATCTAACTGCTTTCCGACCACGGACCGAATTGGCAGGCAGGATCCGGCACTCGCTGAAACCCGAAGACAATATCGCGGGGGCAATGCGCCATAAGCGATTCGTGGTATCTGCTGGAGTGTCATTCACCCTCGCATGATGCAGCGGTGAGACTGTCACCGACCCACTCGTAAATTTGCCCCCCAGAGCGTTCTACCCCCTGGGCTATCGAGAATAATTGCTCGCTTCTCTTGATGTGGAACTCGAAGCTCGGGAGGATGATTCGCTCCTCCACGTCTCGCGCCCATTTCTCCTCATATCTCCGCGGGGAAGCTACTCCACTCAAGCCAAAACCGGATCTGGAAGGATCAAGCATAATCGTTTTGCCTGCCGGAAAGTCTTACTCCATCCCGTAAACTCACTTCTCGAACCCATCTACTGTGGCTAGCCCTTTGCCGAAGGATGACACAATACGCCTAGCGCCCGATTTTCTGCGCCAACAGCCTTCCCCGCACGAAATGAATCCGGAATGTTGACCGATGTTGGTTGGGAAGGAAAGGGGGAAGCAGAGAGTGAGGAGTAAGGCCCAAGTGGGGGATTCCCCAGTGGTAAAACTCTGAGCATTTAAGATCCCCAGATACCCCAGAAACCTTCAACTTAAAGGGTCATCATCTGGAGACAGAAGCAATCAGTCTACAGGTCTATATTCCTGTTTACCCATCTTCTTCGGTGCTTTGTCTGTCTTTTAGACCACACTTTCTCTCACATCGGCCAATTTTTGAGCCAGGTAGTCTAACCAGCCTTCAATATGGCGGGAGGTGCTGCCATCAACATCTTCAACTTCAAAACCTCGGGTCTTCCCAAAGAGACCTTGAACTGGAGGCTATGGTTTGCCGTCTTTGCCTTCGGCATACTGGGCGCCGCCCGCGGTGTTGATGAAGGTCTCATCACCGGCGTCTTCAACTCGCCTTCCTTTAAGAAACAGCTTGGGCTCGACAATTTGAGCAAGACAGACCTTGCCAGTGTCAAGGGCAATGTCTCATCCATGGTTCAGCTGGGCAGCATGCCTGGTGCTCTCTTGTATGATCCTACGCCACGCCTCATTTGAATCTGAGAGCAACGTACTGACATCTGCATAGTGCCTTCATCATCTGTGATCGCTTCGGTCGTGTCTGGGCCACGCGGCAACTCTGTGTTCTCTGGCTTGTGGGTATTGCCATCTTCATGGCCAACCAAGGAAGCATGGCTGCTGTTTATGCCGGTCGCTTCATCGCCGGTGTTGGTATTGGAGAGACTGTTGTCGTTGGCCCCGTATATCTGTCCGAAATTGCCCCCGCGCCAATCCGTGGTCTCTGCACTTGTGCATTCACAGGTGAGTTTTCTGGTACAACATCACAGCTTTCCAACCCACTTACTGACCGCTATGTCAAAATTCACAGGAGCCGTATATCTTGGTATTTTACTTGCCTATTTCGCAAATTGGGGAACTGAGATGAACATGAACGATGGATATGGCCGATGGGTGAGTTTTATGGTACAGCATCACAGCTGTCTAACCCGCTTACTGATCTCTATGTCATAGGCGATTCCTACTTCTATCCACCTCATGTTCGCCGGTCTCACTCTGATCCTCACCTTATTCACCATGGAATCTCCCCGTCACCTGATCCGCGTTGGCAAGCGCGAAGAGGCCTTGAAGGTTCTCTCCAAGTTCCGAGGACTCCCCGTTGACCACCCATATGTCATTGATGAAATCACCGCCATTGATTACTCTTACCAAGAAGAGAAGGAGGCTACACTTGGCATGGGATGGATGGGTGTTGTCAAGGAGATCTTCACCGTTCGACGCAACGCCTATCGTTTGTTCCTTACCAATCTGGCACAGATCATGGCCTGCTGGTCTGGAGGATCTACCATCACCGTCTACGCACCTGATCTGTTCAAGCTTGTCGGCATCACCGGTCAACAGCAATCTCTCTTCTCAACCGTCATCTTCGGAATTGTCAAGTTTGTCGCTTCCATCATCTGCGCGCTCTTCCTCGTTGATATGGCAGGACGAAAGCGCTCACTCATTACCGGAATCGTCCTTCAGACCATTTCTCTGCTGTTCATCGGTATCTTCCTTAACATCGTCCCGATCGCGAACAACCCAAACTTCAAGGCTACCCAGTCCCAGCATCTCGCTTCCGAGGCTGCCATTGCCATGATCTACATATCTGGCGCAGGCTGGGCTCTTGGATGGAACAGCGGACAGTACCTTTTGTCCTCTGAGCTGTTCCCGCTCCGCATCCGTGCCGTCTGCTCTTCAATCACCATGGCCATGCATTTCATCTGCCAGTATGCCACCAACCGTGCGCTGCCCAACATGCTCCTGGAAGGAACCGGCCTTGGCCCTCAAGGCACATTCTACTTCTTCGGATTCTTCTGTTTGGTGGGCGGTTTCTGGGTGTGGCTCTGCGTTCCCGAAGCCGCTGGCCGCAGCCTCGAGAGCATCGATCAGCTATTCGACCTTCCCTGGTACAAGATTGGACTGCACGGAAAGAAGTTCGCCGAGGAGTACGACCGCGAGCAGGAGGAGATTCACCGAAACGAGAAGACGGGAGCGGAGGCCACCCACGAGGAGTTGGCTGGGCAAACTGCCCGCGTTTAGAATACATTTAGAGTCTGGGGCGGATCATTGCAGCAAAGTAGGCCTCATAGATTTATGATGACAATAGATGCGTTTGTATCTCAAATATTGAAGCGACGACATTTCAACTTATTCTTATCTTGCCAAGGTGCTTGAGGTGATTTGAGGTAGAATCTCCGTTGATATCTAACCTTCCATTAATAAGAATAGATTTGAATAGCGCACGAGAAATCGAATGTATCTAGAATAGCAATCCCCAACTACTTCAAGATGGCAGTGGCGGTGAGGATGGTTGAGTTTAATTTTACCTATTTGGAGAGAGATAAGATCGGCTCAACAGATGTTGTGTGTGATACTGCCTGTTCAATAAGCCCAAGAAGTTACAACATCATTGTTGAAGACAGTCATGATTAACAACAATGGATTCCGTCGGGGGAATGTGTCTTGGGAATGATGTAACTTCATCTCCAGCTGGCCATCTCATGTTAGCTCGAACCGAAAGCAAAAGTTATGCAAATCTAAATTAAGCTTGCGTTAATAAAGAATTAGGTTGTCAACGCTGTCCACCCCGTCTCTAATAAATTCTCACAGAGAATACTGGCTGCTACAAAATGAGACGGCTACCATGGACCGGCAAATTCATAATAAGATCACAAGGTCCCTTGCGTAGATCATATGATCGGAGGTTTTGAGCGGGAATGGCCTAAAGCCCATGCTTTTAGGTTTCTTTCTTGTGTTTCTTCCAGCATTGTGGCACCACCAACTCGTCAGATCATTTTCCACTGATATCAGGCAGCTAGTCCTGAGTTTAGAAACGATGCACAGGTCTGGAATGATGAGTGGGGAAGCAGCTGCAGATCTGCAGGTCTCACTGGTTGGGAGCTGTTTGGATGCAACCCTCGCTTCCTGGCGATATTCGAGGTGGTCCCACCCCTTTCCGATTAACCTTGCATTGCCCGACTAATTATCGTTGATCTCGCCCTTCACCACTCGCTCCCCTGTCCTGGAAGTCACCGGGTGTTCTGACCGTAGATTGATGCTTCCATGTAAAACTATTCCTCTCTCATCCTTTGTATACAAAACTCGAAGCTTCATAGTTTTATCGAATAAGATGCCACTGACTGTTAAGAGAACATCTGAACATGGCAACAATCAATGCATCGGTTGCCGAGCCCTCGCGGCAGGTCCTCGCCAGCATAGAACATCGCAGATTGGAAGATAGGCGATCGTGGGATGCCGTCATGCGAAAGGGATTCGCTGGAGGTGTAGCAGGGTGTGCTGTGAGGCTCTATCCCATTTGTCCGACCCTCTGGCTCATCAAATGTCAAATGCTGACTTCGAGCCTCCAATTCATCGCAGGCTAAAACGGTTGTGGCGCCCTTGGATCGCATCAAAATCCTATTTCAAACATCACACTCTCAGTTTATACACCACGCTACAAGCTGGCGTGGTCTTCTCGGCGCAGCAAGAGATATCCGCCAGCTTCAGGGAATCCGAGCTCTCTTCCAGGGTCATTCTGCCACATTACTGCGCGTATTTCCTTTCTCAGGGACCAACTTCCTCGCCTATGAGCAGTTCCGATCGGCATTAATATCGTCTGGATCGTCCGAGACCCCATATCGCAGATTTATTGCAGGAAGCCTGGCTGGGGCAGTCTCTACTTTTCTTACATACCCCCTGGAGTTGATCCGGGTACGGATGGCTTGCGAGATGAGAAACTCTGGGTCGTCATCTTCCTGGTCAAGGGTCTGCCGAACCATGTACCGTGGCACTGCTGGTCAGTCCGGTATTGCTGGTTTCTACCAGGGCCTCGCACCCACGTTATTGGGTATTCTTCCATACTCTGGATTCTCGTTTCTGGCCCACGACCAAATCGGCGACTGGCTTCGATCACCGATGCTCGCCCCATACACCACTATTGCAAGCACGAGAACCAGAGAAAATGATACCACGCGCATTTCAGGGTCGCACAGTTCAATACGGCTAACAGTAACTGCCCAGCTATTCTCTGGAGCCATGGCTGGATTAGTGGCGCAAACAATATCATATCCTCTCGAGACGATTCGGCGCCGGATGCAGGTTTGCAATCCTCTCGGTACCAACCGCCGAGTAGCGATTGCCGAAACTGCCATAGTAATATTTAGAGAGCGAGGATTAGGCGGGTTCTTTTTTGGGTTGCCCATTGGCTATCTTAAAGTTGCACCTATGATGGCAACAAGCTTTTTTGTCTATGATCGTATGAGATGGTATCTCGGGTTATACAACAACTAGAAACTAGAGATTCAATGCATATAGAAGACCCTGCAAGAAATGCTAATGTCATAAAGCGAGATCATTTTGACTCACACTGGCACCTCTACAAAACTGCACATACTCTGTATTGATTGACGCGAATGTTACGCGATCTTGTCACGAATACCAATCTGCGCCGCCCTTACGAGGGGGGACTCAAATTATGTAACATGAAAATGGAAAAAATGAACAGAAAAATGTAAACTTACTGCCCCTTGAACATAAGGGATTTGCCAAGTTAGACTTGTCTCGGATGTCTGTCTTCTCCACAACCCCCTCGAACAAATAGGATACCCAACGGACCACGGACGCCTACGAAAAGGCCAGAACATATTCCATTCTTTGCGTAAGGGAGGGGCCAAATTGGTGCAGGGGCTGATGCCGTGTCCATCCCCAAAGGGCGACGTAGCGTCTTGAAGCATCGGTTCGACACAGCGCCTCAGATGATTCACCAAGACAAGATCCAAAGATTGGACAGTTAGAAAAGGGAGGGGGGACGTATATTCCAGATATCCCACCCATCCCTCATTACGTAGCAGGGCTCCAACACGCGATGGTGGTGTTGAACCTGTCGTCGTGCTGTACCCGTGCCTCACTACCTCTTTGGTGCACCTCACACTATCCCTCCTGCGCAATAAAACAAGAAGTTTAACAAGAAAGGTAGGCCTGATGAGGCTAGAGAAAATATCAAAATGCGTCTCATCACGTTATTTATCATTGGATCATGTAAGACACCAGTTTTTCATTTCTTATATGCATGTGACCGAGATGTCTACGCCATGAGGAGTACCACGAAGCCAGCGATATGATTGCATCTACAGGGGTGTACAACTTGCGCCCTGAGTTTACTCGTGGCTGACATCACTAGCATGTAGAGTAATTTGGAATGATCAAGAAATCGTAAGCGGGGATCACAAGATCTGCCTTGAAGTCCTGTCCCATGCCGCCTTTACCGTAGGCTGGCTGAAAATCCCGACTAGAGGTAATTCGCGTTGTCTTTCTACGACAGTTGAAGGATGGTAAGAGATCGCGCCATCTTTACAAATCTGGGAGGTGGGTCTAATAATGCGTTTTCTATTCCACAAGCTGCCGACAACGAGCCTCTCTCACACTATTAATACCGTTTTAGGGAAAAAAGTAGATGATCAAAATGAGTGGTCTTCGCATTGATATAAAAGTGGGTATATTTGTCAAGGTGGCCAGGTGTCAAGTTTTTTTCCAGTCCTCAGTTAGTACTTGCACCAACACAACCACCTTGTTCAACTCCATCATTGAGCGCTCGGATTAGCGACGAAATCATCATTTACTATGGCGCCTCATATTCCTGATGAGATCTTGAGTCACATCATGTGTTATCTCGTCCCTGTGCTGCCTTGCAAGCGCCGCCCATGGCGATATGACCACTCACTCCGACCGATCGACTTGGCTTCCCTTTGTCTAGTAAGCCGAAGGTTTCGCCATATCGCCCAACCTCTGCTATACCACACTATCGACCTTACCTGCAGTACCGATCGAGCAAATGACGGGGAATTCCTCATGTGGCCAGGCTATCTCCTCAAAACGATAGTGAAAAATCCACACCTGGCAAAGTACATCCGTGTCCTGGCCATGACAGATATGGTATTTCTCTATGAAAAGCCAAAAATGGTATTTCTCCCTGAAACGTCATCGAGTGACTTCCCTTGGGATGTTCCGCGCTGTATCCGATGCGCTTTGGAACCGCAAATAGCAGACAATAGTTATAATTTGCCATCTATCGCCTTGCTTCTGTACGCTACTATGGCCGAGAAGATCTTTCTCTTCCCTAGCGATCCGGACGGTATTGAAGTCGGGTGGATCGTGAGATCATGGCACCCACGGGGTCAGCCTCTTGACCCTTCAATCGACCTTGGCTCGGATCTGACCCTCGAGCTAGGTCCGTTTGCTAATTATGGTCTTCCCTGCCTGAAAGAGCTCTATGTGGATCAAGCAGACGACGAGTATTGGACTATCCCGCTTTTAGAATTCTTAGAGAAGCCAGGCCTCTCTATCTTTCACCTAAATCATGCACGTTCACTCACGACTCTCTTTGTCCCTCAGCCTCTTGAAGGCCCATTATCCAGTGTACACGACTTAAAACTTAGTGACTGCTATATGGAGTCTCAAAGTCTGGAAAACATTCTTCGCAGTTGTCCAAGGCTTCAAGTTCTCAGTGTTCATGTGGCCGAGATAGAATGGGCTGAGCAGTTCTTTCGGCAATGGCATCCTGACATCTTTTGGACTATTAACCTTAAACATATCGGCCAAGCCCTACGAGATTTCGGGGGAAATTTGATCGATCTACATCTTGATTTCTCAAATTTTAAGATGGCACGTCCAATCACTAGTCGAATTGGGTCTTTGTGCAGCATGTCGAAACTCCGCCATCTACAATGTTATAGGAACGACTTGATCATCGCTCAAGAACTAGGCGAGGAACAAGAGGAGAATACCTTGCCGCTGGATAGTGTTTTACCACCATCAATCGTAACACTCAGCATCCATTACATGGAACATGATATTCTACTGTCACCACCAAGCAGTGTAATATCTGCAGAAATAGAGAGCATACTGTCCAGCAGGCGTCTGCAGTGCCTCGAACAGCTCCGAATTCAGAGATATATCCCTGATACTCAGGACGAACTGATCTTGTTTCAAACCAAGATGCCTGGTTGGTCCTTTGACTTCAAGAAAACCCCATGCAAGGTTCAGAATGGCTTTATTGAGTATCTACGTTTTGATAGATTTGGGTGAAACAGCGTGGGCTGTAGTTGAGCTTGCTCGAAGTTTCTTCTAAAGCCTTGGACAAACCGGTCAGAGTGAGCAGCTAGATCCCGGCACCCGCAACGACCGCAATAGCGACCAATCTAGCGTTATATTGAGTCGGAATTCACTTGCTATCTGAGGAAAAGCCTATATGAAGTAGTTTGATCTCATAGTTAGAAGAGAGTCTTTTCGTGTTTTTGAGCCTCGATGACTGCAATGTTTTGCTAATAAATCATGTGAACTATTTGATCCAATAAGATTAAAACCTACGAAGCAACATCCTGAGCTCATACAACTTCTTAACCCCAATCTCTTCCATAACCCTTGGCGAAAGTGGTTTCTCTCTCTTCAATATCGACGATGCGGGCTGCTGGCTTGGTCTTCCCAAACAACAATATTATTCCATCTTCATTTGGCACACAAGCCTTTGTACACTAGAGGGCCTCCTCGCGGCCTCCTCGCGGAGACTAAATTGATTAAAATAATGGATATATGGGATCTGAATTATCTAGTCTTGTGGATCTACTATATAGCTAGCCAGACGCCGCCAAGAGACTGATCGAGGATACATGTAAGCAGTGGTTAGAGCACCGACCAGAACTTGCGCGAGATAAGCCCCTCGGGATCGCCTATTGCGATCTAGGATGAAGTATATTTCTCCTGACCATGTGATGTGCTATATCGAGTCGATCCCTGCGGATGTCTCAAGCCTTTCGAGGGGTCGAAAATTCTCGTGTTTACAGGGGAATCTGGTGCTAGCTAGGGTTAGAAGGTCGGATGGACATTGCCGATGGCAAAATCGAGCAAAGTCAGGAATCATAAGTGTAATATAAGACAGAAGGACATTTATCAGCTCTGAGATAGACTTAATGCGATAATATTGAAACCTGATTTTACAATTTCACATAATACCTATGAATATCCAATGTGTATATAGTATATTCTACAATATGTAGGTGGAACAAGAATTGAAAATGTAACCTCTTTACGTATAACCCTACTAGAGGATTATAAAGTTTGAACAGATCCCCACCTCCCTCTCTCTCTACTGCGTAGTTAGATATTGTATATCCAGGCCTCACCCACAGCTCCGACTCTCTCATCCTTAGATACACAGCTTACTCGAGCATTTGCCTAGTAGAGAACTTAGTTCCAAAGCAATTTCCGCTCACGTCTCGGACTGGGTCTTCGTCGGCTATGAGATCGACTCAGAGCACGTTTGGCTCTCTTCGAAGGCGATTTACTACTGGTGCGCTTAGGCGTCGGTCTGTGAGGAAGCGCGATGGGAATCTTGGAAGGTGGAGTACTAGGCCCCTTCGGTTTGTGTTGTCCGGAGCCCGGAGGCGACTGGCTGGCAGGTCTCTTAGCACTCCCGGCTCCAAAGGCGCCATCGAGCTGGCCTGGACTTAGTCGGTCAAGGGATGAACCACCGCTATAGGAGCTGCCGGGTGGTGTTCCCACGGGCCTGGGGATACGGCTGAAAGGAGCACTCTTGGGCGGGGCACTATTTGGTCGATTGGGCGGAGGACTATTTGGTCGATTGGGCAGGCTTCCAGGACGTCCCACGGTTGGAGGGGCGCTCGAAGGCCGACGTTCGTTGGGATCACGCCGGGGAGTTTTCTTGCCAAACTCGGCCGGATTGGCCCCTTCGAAGTCAACACCCAACTCGTACGCGACGGCTCTGCAATCCGCACACAGAGTCCATGCTCCCCCCCGGGCCTGACGCACATTATTGGCATTCACGCCTGATGCGCCCCAAGCTACAATCATGCTGCCCGCTGGTTTACCTGTTACGGGATCACCATAGTTGAAACCGGCACGAATCTTAGGGCCCGACGCCTCTCTGTAGTAGAATGCACCGTCCTCTGCATCACCCGCCGGGGCCTGCTTTCGCGCTTTTGCCCAAACTGGAGCTAAGGCTATGGCTTCGCCGCCTTTTTTATTAATTGACTGCAGGTATTTCCCTCGGAGAATGGTGGACAAGAATATTTTATGGGCTTTGTGGTCATAAAACGCAGCTACTACCACATTGCCTGCTCTCGTATACGGGTTTGGTTGAGTCTTGACCCAGTTGAATGCTTTGCTTGCCTCGCCGTATAGACGCAGAAAATCCATTGGGCCAGAAGCATCAATCGCTTGATGCCATGTTGTCGAAGTTGATGGGCCTGGAACAGCAGCCTGCAAGACAGTTATCCCCCGAGCAGGCGCCGCATCTCTCATGAGACGTGGCTCAAGAACGCAACGCACCAAGCCAAAGAGCCAGCAAGCGAGGGTGAAACATCCTAGCAAGCGCATTGTTTTGGTTTGCTGAACCGATGCGTGGCTCAGGCGGTTCTGGCTAATATGTATGTATAAACCAAAGATTGAATGCAAATTTAATAAAGATGAGTATATAGGCAGATGAGGATGAATATAGAAGCCAGGTTGGGGCGAAGAAGAGGAGGAATAGGGAGAAAGGTTGAATGGCTAGATATCACCATGAGAGTCTCCAGGTAGTTCAGGATCCCTACTATATACAAAGAGCGCAATCACCTCTTCTCGACATTATTTCCACAATAATAATCCCAGGTCAGCCCTAGGCCATCTGATCAGCTAATTTTATCTCTAGGCTTTCCCAGAGAAATAGATAAAATTCTCAAACCAGCGTATTACGGACTTGGCGCCCACGACCAACAGATATCAACCGGCGTCAAGTAGTAATGCCTGGTGGCTTGGAGCACTGTTGGTTGTTCGTCACCTGAAGGAACCCACTCCCATGCATGATACTGATCACACACACACATGAAAGCGTCTCGCAGCGGAGGATGGTATCTTGGGCTGGTATCTTATAACACGCAGCTCTTTGGTTGTTTCCTGAGTCTTTCCCGTCTCTTTTTCCAGAACAAAACAGAAGGAGGCGACATCTCAGTCATATAGATCCAAGAGCATTCATGTGATACTTGAAATTAAGCCTCTATTCTGCCCCCCTTTCACCACCCCTCCCTGTTCAAATTCCACGCCAGGACCAACGAGAACACCTTTGACACCTGCCAGGAACCGTAAGCGCTTCAACACCAACACCATAACGCCTTATGACCAGGGTAGCAACCAACAATGCATCGCTTACCTTCAGGGATGTACTACTCTCCACTGCGTAAAGCGGAGCCTAATTTGGATGCCTGATGGTACTCTCGGTACAACAGAGCAGCCAAGTGCTACAAAATCGCGGTTAAAACAGTTAGGAGCAAATCTACCCAATCGCTCCAGGTCTGTTGCGGCTTGTATTGCTTACTAGGGATATTTGCCCTCCAACCTCGAGAAAACATTGAATTCCGCCATGATGTCCAACGGGAATTATGCCTTCTACCGCCTGAAATGGAAACAGAGGCTCACGATACAGCGTTCATGCGAGGTGCTATACTTAGACAATCCTTCTTCACGCTTGATTGTTCATTGATCAGCCCGTTTTAGTCACAACCTGCAAAAGTATCTTTGGCCGCGTTACAATGTATCCCGTGCTCCGCCAACTTTAGCATGACAACCAACAGCCAGTAATACACCTGACACCAACAGGTACGGGATATTTTTACACCACGTACCACTCTACATTGAATTCCTTGCGACACTGCCCACTCTACTCACTCAAATAAGCACCAAGGTTGTTTACAGGGAGAGGTTGGTAATGGCAGAAGAGACGGTATTGAACCTTGTCCTGGCAGACACTTTGGCAAATTCGAGAAACTTTCTGAATTTCTCAGCTTGGTCTTTGATGTTCTCGGCGAATGAACTTGGCGAAGCCGCCTCCTTTCATTTGGCGACGTTGAAGGATCTGGTGGTCTTGCTAGAACGTATAATTCCATCCTCAGCATTATTGCGATGGCGGCGGTTGCTGCATGGCCCAGTCAGGGTAAGGGCCAAAGTCGAGCTTTCGATCGTTGCCATATGGCAGCCATTATCATCATTTAGCCCCGGGGGGGTTTGAAGAAATGGAGAGATTCATAATCTATGGAAAGCAATTAACCTCCAAATTTTCATCTCTTTATTCATTTCACCAGATATTTCTTCTTTTCAATCATTCTTGACGTAACAAGACTTCAATTCTGGGTCTTTGAGCCCACTGAAGCTTGAAGCTGGTCATATATGGAACAAATAAAATTTCAGAAAGGGAACGGTGAGCCTTGCCACTCACAAAGGAAAGAGTAGAATTTTCTTGACTTAAATGATACATATCTACGAAGAGGACAAAAATTCAGTAGATAAAGCAACTACTATACTAGGAGATGGCTTGGTCCCTACAACAACGTGGCTACATGTTAATACAACCCTTAAAACCCGTCTTTCTAACGCAGGGCTTTTAATATACCCAGGGCTAGCATTTTGGGATGCTCGCGTTTTATTCAAACACCAGAACATTATGTCTCAATATACCCCTTGAGACTAGCCTAAGAAGTTCTAGATTATAGCGTACACATACTGTTTACCAGAGGAAGGGAAGGGCTTGGGAACAAGATGGCTGGGGTCGTAGGATTGACAGAAATCATGGGCTCCATCCTGTCCATGACCATCCACCAGCCCGATCTAGGTTGGAATTGAGTGAAGCCAGAATCAAAAGCATTTTCAGCTTTCGTTCCTTCCATTCCCAACAAGCCAGAGATCAGAGTTGTATAATACGTAAGCCCGGAGTCCAGATCATCGATAACGACAGGGACATCGGAGACAGATTTAGGGATGTCTGAACGTCGGATAATTGGAAACGATATGTCGTCGAGGACCAATCGCTTATGGTCTATATCCGAAGGAAGCAACGCCAGAGTTCTGTCGCTATATTCCCGGATCATGCCGTTCTCGTCCCAAAAGCAGAAAGCGGTTATCCAGCCGGAGAGGGTCTCAATATCTCCAGAGCCTTCGTACCCAGCTGCATGACAAGCCTGCATCCAAAAGTCCTTAATCTGTGGGTCTTCTGGCCTATCAAAACTTGTAATCATCTTGTCAAGAATCTTGCCAAGATAAGTCGACCAAAGACTGGGTTCCATGCCATACTGGGCAAATCTGTGGACCCTTTTGGAGATGTCTTCCCAGTCCTCTTTCGTGCCCTCTAAAGTGACTGATGGGAAGCCACAGCCTAAGGTAATTCTGTACTCAAAATATGACTTCATCGTAGCCATAAGAGCCATCGCGGCTACTGTCTTATCCTGTATTGTCGAAGTGCTGAACTGTGGGAGTAACCATTCGACGATTTCCTCATCGGCAAGGAATCCTTGCATTTTGGAAATGATTTTCTCGGAAATCCAATCAAGATCAAGTTCTCTGAGGGATGAAGAAGGTGTGACAATATTTATTGTTTCCTTTCCTTCGTGCCGAACGATTCTGTGTCGCAAATCGTCAGAGTTGCTGTTCACGAAGAGGCTGAACTGGAGAAGAATGGCGAGCCATACATCATCTGGACGTAGAACTAGATGTAGATCCTGCTGGAAGGCTCGTAGAATGCCTTCAACGAAGCCGTTTCCATATGGGACAAGGGCGTGACCACTTGGTTGATCTAGGTCGACAAGCGATGAGTGCACAATGGGGCGATCGTCAGGGCCTATCTTCTTGTTGCTCAGGATCGTGTCTCCAAGGATGTCTTCTCCATCTAATTCAATCGTCCATGATTTCGATATTTGATGGAACAATTCTTGAGAAGACGTCGCAATAGGATCGGTGTTGCTACCGACCTTTTCAGGTTGAGGCTTTATCGTGACAGGCATACTTTTTGCCGTCCAAATGGGATGCTCTCGCGCTTATTTAAGTGACTTCGGTGATAAAAGAGTCAGCCTATATATGCCATCAAAACAATGCTATTGTTGAAGGAGTAGCCTCGTGGCGTGTGGCTTTTGTGTCTTGAGGTAACGGTGTGTTCTTCCCACGGGCACCCGTTCGCTACCCTTTTATCACTACGGATACCCGAATAGTCACCGCCAAGTTGGACACGGTACATTTTCTAACCCTTGACGGTACCCGTGAAATTTTGCGGGTACCCGAACGGCCACTCCTCCAACGGATTCTTGGGTAGTTTGGATTGTCCAAGAAGCTAGCCAAAAGAAGTATGCTAAATTGCTGATGTTACTCTTAGTCAAGGACCCTAAAACCTTTATTGTCCCGAGGCACAACCATTACCAACATGTATTTGGACATCAATTCTTAAGATCCTGGATCCCCGGTTACCTGGTCTTACCATACTTCATCCTATCTCATCGTGTCTATCGCCATCTCTACCCATTTGACTCTTTCCTGACCAGGATGAGAGCTAAGAGCTACGCTTTGGGGCACGACAATATTCAGGGAGTAGCAGATTGGCCTGGGAGTCGCGCAATAAGTGCCTCTCATTAACGCCAGCGCTGTTCTTCAACTAATATATGTATACAACTTTGCCTTCGTTCTCAGGAATTAGATTCTCATATCTGATAATTACAAATTAATCCTCTTTAAATGCAGTTATAGTGGTCTTATTGTATTAGGCAAGACATGCTAGAGCCCTTTAAGCTAGTGTGCGCACTTATCGAAGTAGAATATGCACGAAGCTGATCTACCAGCAGCTTATGCATATTGTGGAGGGTCACTTTTGGTGAAGTCGCTCAGCCAGTCAGCTGCGGCTATTCTCGTGCGGGGTTACTGTCAACAAACCACAGCGACCAACTTGAGGCAGTCCAAACTTAAATATACATTGCTTGCGGAATTCCCCAGAAGGCTCGTGCCGTTGTATCGAGTTTCATTATACCTGAACATGAGCGGCCGAATCACATACACGAAAGCCCAGTTGGATCAATACTTCACTCGCGTCAACCTACCACCCTCCCAATGGCTCTATGACGTATCAAAACAAGACGGATCGTTCCAGAAATCCCATCTCGAACTTCTACTCAAACATCAGCTCACAAGTGTCCCTTTTGAGAATGTGACCTTGCACTACTCGACTCACAGGGTAATCAACATAAACGCAAAGCATTTAGTTGACAAGATTCTTCTGCAGCCGGGACGTGGTGGATACTGCATGGAGAATAATACCCTCTTTCACACTGTCCTGCTCTCGTTAGGCTTCGATGTGTACCTTGTTGGGGCTAGAGTCTTCGAAAATGGGCGGCTTGCAGGCTTAGCGCACTGTCTGAACATCGTCACTATCGACGGGGAACGATACGCAGTAGATGTGGGATATGGTCCCAACGAACCCATTCACCCCCTCAAGATTATTGACAGGGAAATTCAACCTCATATCGGGCCTGCGTCTGTGCGCCTGAGATTTGATGCAGTCTCGGAAGGCCTCAAGCGGGACCAGAAGCTTTGGATCTATGAACTTCGCCAGAATGACGATTCGGAATGGGTGCCCTGTTACTGCTTCACGGATATGGAGTTTCTGCCCGAGGATTTCTCTGTCATGAACCACTGGCCACAAAGGGATCCCAGGAGCATCTTTGTCCAAAAACTGCTCTGCGTGCGATTTACGAGCGAGGGACAAACCTTTGCAAATCCCGAGGAGACCCAGTCGAAAGACCCCTGGACCAACGCCACCACTACCGGTGGCGAAATCAATGGAACTCTGATCTTGGTTGGGGATAGTTTTAAGTGGCGGGTGAATGGGGTTAAAGTGTTCGAGAAGCAGCTCTCAAGCGAGGAGGAGCGAATTGCAGTGCTTGAACGATACTTTGGGATGGAGCTCACAGAAAGCGAAAAGGAGGCTATCAAGGGCACAGCAACTGCGCTTCCTTTGCCATAGGAACGTTTCTCCAGAAATACATGAAGATCTACATCTACTTTTTTGTATGGCTTTCTCCATAACCAAAGCTGTAGGCCTGAATTCGGTTTTATCACCAACCATTTTTTCCCCATCATATTTCATCTTCCCAAAGGTGAAAAAAGAGAGGACAGGAAAACCTGTTGCCAAACTGATTCATCCTGAAGGAAAGAGACTGTTTCACAAAGTTTAGGATTCGTAAACCACGCCGTATCTCATGATCCCTCGGTGGCGGATGTGACATCCAGGGTAGGACAACTGAGCTGTAACCGAGATGGAGGACGCGAATCCCTGCAAGGAGAGGCGTGATCTAAGTGGACATCAGAGTGTCACCCTGGCAGAAACGTGGGCTTTGTCAGCGCTTTCTCGCACTGGGACTGGCTGGGAGCTGATTACAAGGTGCATGTTTCAGTTGATCATGCAGCAATCGCATGACCAGGCCATTCTCCCCCTCAACACCACAGTGAGGCGAAGCTATCGTGAAGTCCCATCTCTGGGAAGTCCATTGCTCTCCTTCATTCCGTGTCGATTTACGGACGGGCAGACACATTTCTAGTATCGCTGGGCCGATCACGCATTTCTCAACTCCTGACCCATTTCGTCACCACGCTCGTTTGCCCCTTAAAAGACGCCCACCTCTCAGTTGATCATGCTTGGATTTGGTGGCGTTTTTGTGCTGGTAGGACTGATTTTCCTTGCCGCGGCTTTCGGAGGTGCCGTATTCGCTGTGAAATTCGCATTCTTCAAGCTGCCTTCCGATGCAGGCGTCCATGAAAACAGTAGGCTTCAACCGAGATTGACTGTCTGCGTGACTGCGCTGTGAGTACTCGCGTCTACTCGTGATGGTCAAAGCCTTGCATGACTGACCTCATTTGAAATAGATGGGTGGCCTTATGGTCTATTCTTTCCATCGTATCCCTCTACGTCTCTGAGCTGGGCTCTAGCAATGAGGTCCTCACTTCTGTACTCGTGCATGGAGCGACGGTTCAGGCATTCGTGTCCGCTGCTGCGATGTTCCTGAATCTTAACTTGCAAATCGGCATGGTCAGCATCTTTGGTGATACTCCAACAAGTCATTATGACCGGGAGAGTAGTGTTAGAAGAAGCTCTCGTCTCTTGACATGCTTCCTTGCCCTCGTCATCCCGTTGGCAATCGCCCAATCCATTCTGATCGAATTCAGCTTCTCATCGCCACCACATGTGCCTGGGTCTGGGTTGTACAACTCTTTGGCCGGTGTACAACTTGCAATAGGCTTGATTTTCCTTATAACAGCCATTATCTCCCTGATCCTAATGAAGAATTGGGTATGTTCTGGTCCCTCCCTTGAAAAAGATTTTACAGTCCGACTTACTATGATACCTTTAGACATACTACCTCCCTCTCCTCGTCGTCGGAGCTCTGTCGTTCCTTCGACATTTAAACACCGTAGTCCACGACATTACCCTTCTTGTTGGCTATGATATCTTCGCGTTCCCATACCCAACTAGAATTGTGCTCGTGTGGTATGTCGTCTCGGTATTCTTATCGAGCTGGACCACCGTCATCGGCCTAGTCATACTTCTCCAACTTCTGGCAACATATTTTAGTGATGCAGCTGCAGAGGCATCTCCAGTAGATGATAGGAGACCTCTTCTGGATCGCTCCTGGGAAAGTTCCGCAGGAACATTCACCGGGTAACTCAAAGTAAGACGTTTCCAATAGCTTGAGGGAATATCGAATGCGGATCCCCAAAGTCAGTTGATTGAATAAGCGAAGGTGTCAGTGTGATTATGTTCTGGAAGTGTTTCTTCGCACAATTAAAAGACAGAAGTAGTAGAGCTTTCGGCAAAGCAACGTTTTCTCAATCTCTCGTTTTGGATATTTTGTTGGGCCGGATTATTTCGGCGAGCAGTTCTGTTTTTCCTTTTACTGTTTTGGCACAGGTGCCAGGAAGTCGACTCTCTCTTAGAACCGTGCTGGGGTTATCTTTGTAAACCCAGCTTATGTTTCCTTTCTAGAATTGGACTATCGTTATGGCATGACCTAGGGTGGTCCTTTGATGGCTTATTTTACAAGTTCCTTTCCTCCATGAGACAAATCTCCTCTCCCAATTATTTTGCCATGAAAGATATATCAAACCTTGGTAAAGATGAGTATGGTCTTGATACCTACTATGCTGATGTGTTTGTTAGCTTGTCACCCCCCCGTCGAAAATCACCTCAAGTCAGAGCTGGTGGGGCACGACCTTTAGTCGATTCTTTGATGGGTTTATTAAGTTTACTATATTGGATGCCCTGTATTGGTGCATCATAATAAGCATTATTATATCCCCTGACAGACAGCCTGCCTACACGTACACTTGCCGGATGAATGGTACACATGTCTCCGCGCGAGACAACTTAGTCTTCTTCGTTTATTCATACATTGTAAAACAGGTCCTTTACTCATAAATATAGCAGAATGGTGAGTTCCCAACGGTGTCCAAGGCATCGTCGATTGTAATCTCAGGAGCATTGACACCTAGGTTCAGCGGGTCACTGACCAGTGCGTCTCTGCTGGGAGGGAGGTTGAGAATGGTGATTGTCCCGGCGATGGTCTTGGCCTGTTTCAGATGAAGAGCCTGCCAGAGCCAGTACAAACGGTCTGTCATGGAGTGGTGCAGCCAGAAAATGGGGTCAGTTGGGGACGCGAAAAGGTCAGCAGAATCGCCGCCCATGGTGAAGTGGCCGGCAGCATGAATGCCAAGGAACTCGTCACCAAAACGACCTTGGAACTCGTCCTGGAAGAGAGAGATGCTGCCAGAAGCGTCGCCTTGTGTGAGGTTCCAGAGGTTTTCGGCTGTCATCCAGGTATCAACCGCGTGCTTGGTGAGATCTCGGCTTAAACAGCGAGGGTTGTAATCAAGTCCACTGCCGTTTTGGGCTTTCATGCCATCCATTCCGGGAGAAACGGGACCTAGGGTGACGATCATGCTAGAAAATGTCAGTGAATTTGTACTG